AAGAGCATACTGATAGACGGTGAGCTCAGCGTAAAAAACCTTAACAATTCATTTGGGGCAATCGCTAAAATCTGAAACCTTTCAGAAATTTTTCTTTTAATTTTTAATAAAATTAATAAATTATTTCTTTAAATTTTTAGTAAGATTTATAAAATAAAAAAAGTATAAACAATGTTGATAAATACCAAAACTTGAATAAAAGTACTTTTTTCTTATATTCATAAACTATAACTAAATACTTAACAGGTAAATAAAATACTGAACGCATTCCCCCCCCCTTGAACCTATGAAACACTCCCCAAAGGCAAATTCTCCTCTGGATGAATAACTGGGTGGTTAAAACCGCTCAACTCTTATGTTTCGACGCAGGCTCGAATAATTTTGAACGAATTGCATCGTATGTGTTTGCGATGTCTCTACAATGTGCAACAGTGTTTCGTAGAAAATTATTCGTGAACGCAATTCTCGTGTTCCTTATTTAAGCAATTAATCATAGATCTCTGTTTTTTGAGAACATGAGTCATTTATCACATTAATTAACTACAGGCTCTCTCTTTTCCGTACCTTAATCAAGGTATCTCTCGTTCTACTGGGTCGATTGACGAAATTCAACTAGCGTTTTTCATGTCTTGAAAACCCGACTTAGGATATGTATTAGATTTATATATAGCATTATTCTAGTATTTTGACAAAAAATCGGACTTTTTCTGAAATGACATGCCGATTTTTGTCCAGATTTCGATTCTACGATTCAAATTGTGCCAAACTGCCAAGGTTTGTAAAAATCTCACGAGTCGTTTTTAAAAAAATAGTTCTCAAAATTTTAGCTCCTCAATGTTAATTGAATTTCATATATATTTATTAATATCTCTTCTTTTAATAAACTTACTTGATTCCTTCTTCCAGAATTCAAAATTTTGGCTTAATCCAAGTATAATTCGCATATCTTTTATGATTTATTTTTAAAATTTACATTTTTAAATATTTTTTATAAATTTTTCGAAAACCTTTTTGTATTATAATCTATAAAATTTTTAACATCATTTTAAACTGGATGTATTTCTAAGCACATCTGCAAAAATTTAGAGTTTTTCAAAATTTTCTAAGATATACGTGAATTTACATATTGGCGCGTTTTGAAATTTGGTATATATGTTAAAAGCGATAATAACCCCAAATAAGGTTTACGCGCTTTGTTAAAATTATTTGAAAGTATGAACGAGGATTTTTCCCCGCTCGTGTACATGTTAAAAAAAGGAAAAGGGAAATAGTTTGCTTATAAATTGAAAAATTTCGTCAAGTGAATTATTCTTGGTGCGAACTGAAAAAAAATGGGCCAGGATAAATTTTTGAATTTCTCCTTAAAGTTTGCCCCAAAATTTATAAAAATTTAATATTTAGGAATAATTTGAGTCGGAGAATCGAAATATGGAAAACAATTGGATTGTCATTTTTGGAAAAGTCCGATTTTTTGTCAAAATATCTATATTATAACAATGTTGTATATAAATCTAATCTATATCTTAAGTCGCGCTTTTCGAGACATGAAAAACGCAATTTGAATTTCGTCAATTGGCCCAATAGAACGGGAGATATAGAACTGTCCCATCTTTCATTCCGCAGTAAAATAGCTAAACATCAACCCGGCGAATCGGCTACTAGATTTGAATTTTCCCCCCTTGTATAGCTGATATATTCTTATCAAACTATACTGAATTTACAATTCTACTTTTTTGGCTTACAAACTTACTTTCTGTTTTGTTTTATATTGCATGTAAACCCCGCGAAAGGATGTTTAGAAATCTCTCTTTATTCTTTCTTATTCTGTAAGAAATGTTTACCAATCTCCTTCGAGCATGGATTTGAAGGAATTAAGAAAATAGTGAAATTCCAAACTTTTCTGCTGATTGCGCGTCTTTCAGAGAGATATTAAGAGCATAATATTTCAGCGAAAATATTTCAGAGCAGTCATCTATAAGTGGAAAATTATTAACACTTTTTTTTGCAATGTCTTCGCTCCTTTAATGCATTTTCTCCGCTTCGGCTTTGGAAAAAATTACAAGTATTTACATATTTCCAAAGTTTATACAAAATGACTGAAACTGCGATGGAAATGAGATTCAAATTTATCATGAGCTGCTTCCACGTTTGAATTTTTTTTTTTTTTTTCATTTACCTTCAATTTTAGGTGCAAATATATTCTGACTAAGGAAAAAGAGTATAGAAAATTCGTTTGGATAAAATGTTTTCGTGCGATATTACAGTAACAAAATATGAAAATTTAATTTTTGAGCTAAATTACGGTACGAAAACAGTCTGTTCCTTTATAATTCTCTTTTTAACCTTTTCCATTCTGATATTACATGATAAGGATATAATATGCATTTGATGGCACGACGTCAAATTACGAATCTGCACTTTTTTAATGTGAATATGATTTCTTCAGTGACTGAAATGTTTTTAATTGAAACGTAAAACGTATAAGTGAATTATCATATGTATATAACTTGCTTGGTCCCAGCAGTGATCAAATGGGTAAAACTGCTGAATACTGGTACTTCAACCTGGGTTCGAGTCCAGGCGAACGGGCTTGTTGCATGTTTGGTTTTTCTGGTTTTTCCCATGTGTAGCGTGAATACGAGTCAATTTCACTTAGAACGTCCCCCTTGAAGGCATCATGCCTTTTTATGCAGGTAGCCTTCATGTGTTTTGTCGTATTCAAATAACCTTACTTAATATAAACCAAATTTGCAACTTTTTTTACTTTTAAATGCGAAATCATGAAAATAATGATTTTGCGAATTCGCTGTTTTGATGTGGTATCGGCCATTATGAGGTGCTGTTATTTTAGTTCTAGTTTCTATTTTATATATGCAAAGACAAACTTTTACTACATGTTAACGAAATCTGTTGACGAGCCATATTAAGTCTGCCATCAGTCACTTGCGAAGCTGGCAGGAGAGGTTGATGTCTTAAGATGAGAAAATTCTTTGAATTCATTGAGAAAGAAACATTATTGAGAAAGCAGTACAAACTTGTGAAGTTCGCTCCAATAAAAATGCGTCTGGCAAAAAGATAGGCAAAATTTTACGAATTAAATATAATTGAAAAATGTGTTCGAGCTTAATTATTCACGTTCATAATGATATACTTGCTATTATATATGATGACTCAGCTTAAACCTTTAAAAACAAACCTAGTTTATAACTGAGTTTATACCTGATTTATAACTGGGTTTTTTTTAAACTTTTTAAACCCAATTAAATATCACTGAAATACTGTTGCAAACTATCTGTAGAGATTTATATTTAATTTAAATAAACATTTTATTTAATTTTAAGCTTTCCTGTAAGTCTTCATTCCCCTAATTGTTAATGCCAGAATATTTGAATTTGGTAGAGCACGTGAAGGAATGCAAATTCGACCTGGAGGAGAAAAAGTTTAAATACCGGGTTTCAGAAGGAAAATGAGGTACAGTTAGGCTATTGCTATCATCTCTGTAGCGTGAGCTTCTATTTTCGTAGTTATCGCTGGTTTGCTTGTCATAACAGCATTTTCTTGCTGCCACTCATTTCGACGCGGGTTTAAGAAACAGGAATATTTGAACCCTGTAGCTTAATTTTCGACTACTTGTGAACATCTTCGAATTTTTATTTTAGTTCTGTGATATCAGTTACCGCCCAAGAAAGGCGTAGTGTGTTAGCGTTGAATTGACGGATTGTAAATTTTAAAAAGTTTAATAAAGGGTAATTTTACCCCTTCTCCTGTGTAGTTCCTACAAGGACTTGCTACACGTAGAGTTGTCACTTAGAAGATAAGCAAGTAGACCTTACAACTCAACTACTAATTCTATTCATCCATGGAATATTACAAAAGGCATGCCACTAGAAAATTCATATGGTCGCTTATTTCTGCTCGTTACCGATGGAATTAAAAGCCTAGCGTTCAGAAAACCGTGAAGACCCAAGATTGGAATGTAACGTACCTGGTAAAATTGAGCAAACTATATCAAACAGAGTAACAAAAAGTCGTGTTTTTTCATCAGCTATTATAATGCAATCTGCAAAACATTTCCATGTCTGTGAATTTGCAGACTGCACAGAATGACCTCGCCAGAGTTAGCATAGCAACCAGCCCGGGCAACAATCGCCGATATCATCAATGATTTATACCGAGGAGATATCTTCCATAGCGCGTACTGCGGCCACCGAAATACGAGAAGCGAGGACATAAAAGCTTTCGCGGTGATATTTATTGCTGCCTGTAATGGCTTGCTGCACATGGGGGTATGCGATATGAAGGTATTTATTTTCCGTGTATTAGAACTGGGAAGGCAGGGAGATATTTACCTAACCGGCTTTACGTGATGCCTCGTTATGATGCATAAAAAGGGAGGCTTTCTTTCATTTGGTATCTTTACTTGGAATAGTTTCGGGAAAACTAGATTTTTGTTCTTTTTGTTGGTATCATATTCAAAAGCTTAAATATTGAATTTTCGTTAATATAATGTTTTTTAATCAAATCTCAGAATATACCGTGTAATCTTCTCCCCTCCCACGAAAACAAGAAACAAGATCAAAGGAGCTATACATAAATAATAGAAATGGCAATTAATTTGCATTTCAGAAAACTTCAGATTGCACTCCAATACTTCAAATAGGATTTCATCATTAATGTTTCGATTCTAAAACGTAAAAGTATTAAAATATATCGAAAACATTAATATTTCCTTCTTTTTAAAATTAATTTCTGCTTTTAAGTAAAATATTTCAACCAGCTCGAAAAGAATTTCAATGTTAAAAGCCCTATTAATTTCTGCATTTTGTTTTTGAACGTAAAATTATGGTAAAGTTTTATAAGGAATTAAAAAAAGGAAATTTATGTAGTAGGCAACACTTTATAATCTATGAAACTTAGTCATTGTCTGTCATAGATTTTACTTAATATGGAGACAAAAGTATGCAAAAGAACCAAAGTTATGTAGTGTCGCCTCCAAGTACTGCAATAAAGGCCCAGGAGAAGATGGGTACGAGGTTGGCGATATAGGGGAAGAATGTGGATAATTACGCGTCCGACACGGAGAAGGTGCATACCCATGCTCGGAGGATACTTCATCTGGATATCCACCTAAAATAAAAGGCTTACATTTAAATTTCATTTTATAAAATATATGAATGAAACTCTATGACCCTATAAGCCAAATCCTCCTCTCCCCCCATTTTCTTATTCACAAAAATTTATCTTCTTTAGTTAGTGACATAATTTCAGTTCTTCCTAGCACTTTAAGAGTTCTTACATCTTTGCTTTCTCACATTTTATTAGCATTTTCCTTGATAGATGACACTACATGCATTTTCACTTTGCTTCATCCATTGCTTTTAATATATAAATGGTTGCACTCCTTTCTTATTTTGCAGTCTGTTGAAGTTATATTCATAATTTGTGCTACAACATTTCTTCCCTTTCCCTTCATTAACCCTTCAGTTAATGCAACGTATCTGTAAGATTGTTTTCTGAAGTGAATGAAGAGAAATACCTTTACCAAATGAAGGGATAAAATGCTAATTTTACTTATAAAAGCATTCCTTAAATTGAATAAAATTTTAGTACACACATCATATATGTAACAAAACATATAAATTCTTCTTACAAAATAGAACAAAACAGGGGGGATTTCACAGTTTCAGGGTGAAATGCAGTCAGTGTTTTATTAACCTGTTAACATGCTGAATGCCATGCTAATTTCACACGGCTTGCCCGTCCGGCCAACATAATCATAAGTTGCAAATTTTTCACTATAAATTGAATATTTTGACGAAATATTAATTACAACAGAGAAATTAATGCACTTAGCAACTCTTACCACATCACAAACTTAAAAAAATGTCAAGAAAAAAAGAAATGTCTGGAAAAGCTAGAGTCAAGCGATGATTTTCTCAAGGGCATTATGAAAAAATTCAAAAAATTTAAGTAGGCTAAAGCCAAAAAAGTGACATACAGTGGAGACTGCATAGGTTTACCTTTCATTTGCTTTGAGGGCTTCAATACAACACATCACATAATGCACACATAACATTTAAGCTTACATGCTATATATATATATAAAAAATTATTTTTGTACGTTCTGTATTGCATTAATTTCTTCACACTATTTTAGTAATGAAGATAATACAGTCAAAAGTCGTTAATTCGGACACCCATAATCCGGACCTCAAAGCTTCAAACTTTCTGCGCGTGCATCGCTTCGACGCATGCACGTAAGGCCTTTACGGCTGAGAATATGCTTGTGCGCGTGCGCAAAATACGTTTACGAGTGCGCGTTTAATGTATAATGGATGGTATAAGGCTAAGCTAAAATTATTTAATTATCTATTTCAGTTAATGTTGCAGATTGTGTTGTTCTGGATCCGGCTTATTATTTTTTGCAGACTGTTAGAGCAATTTTATAAAAATAAGCTTGAACTTTCGATTATGTCAAATAGAATTTCTGATATATATTTATTAATATGTAAATGATCTACAAAGCGAAATATGTTTCGAAGTTCATTAAACAAAAAGTGGAGTTGCTGCAAAAAATGGATAAAGGCATATCCTTTGTTTATCTAAACTTTGTTTATCTTTAACGCTGCTGCGCAGCGCAATGAATTGGAAGATGATCTGTCAGCACTATCCTTATCTTCAGGGCAGATGTTTTTATTTTACTTGGCTTATAATTCCTTATTAAATGTAGTATTTCATCTCCATGTACTCCGTCTTTGATATGATTTAAATCAAATTCCTTGTCATTCTAATTCGCTTCCGATAGCGAAGAAAGTGACAGAGGTTATCGAAAACGAAAAAATTTCGATTGACAACTTAGTCGGTATTCTCGACACAGCAATTATAGGACTTGAACAGTGGAACTTTGTAACTGAACAAGAAATTATGTCTGTTTAAAGAATTAAAGAGAATGTATTATCACATAAAAAACGAAGCAACAACTTACATTGAAAGAAATGTTTAATAAAGTAAACAAATAAATATTAAGCTTTTTTTTTTTTTTTTTTTTTTTTTTTGTAAATTTTGATACCCTTTAGATCGTAATTGTTCTTTATTTAGTAAATTACGGTTTCATACTTTTAATTTTATAATTTCTGCATGCCATCTTACCAGATTTAACCTGATGATCTATGATCCGGAAAAATCGATAATCCGGAATCGCCGAAGTCCCGATGAGTCCGGATTAACGACTTTTGATTGATTTAAAAAATTTTAAAACACTGAAAATTTACTCGAATTATGTGTTTCTAGTAAACTTGGCTTTGCTGTTTGCAGGTGACCCCCATGGCATTAAGTGTATTGTTATGGATTTTGTATTTAGTTGGCCACTGTTAGTAGAATTGTAATTAAAATTATTTTATTTCCCCGTGCAATGCAGCGCATGACGAATTTTAAGAGAAAGCTACGGCATAAAATACAAGAGCACATACATTTAACTTTAATAAAAGTTTACCTCCCTAATTGATATTTAATTTGAATAAATGTAATTGACTACAATGCTAACTGTAACTGTAATTATATGCTTTTTGTTTTCGAGAAATTGCTAGAACTCTCTCGTGCGCTCGATTTAAAAAGCTATAAAAACCAGAGAGAGAACATCTCAACTCAGTTGTTTTCATGACCTGTTGTTGTTTACATAGCTGCTGTAATTTTGATCGGATTAGCTTTCTCTGTGCTTTGGATAGTGTTCTATTTAATGTTCTAGTAGTTTACAATATAACTACTGTGTGATATTGTATGCATATTTCTGAAGGAAAACCTTGCATTTTGTTGCATTTCTTGTGATAAGAATAAATTAACTTTTTATCAGACTTGCGCATTTAATCTATTACAAACCCATATGTATGCAACAGTATTGAGGATGTAATTTTAGTTTATGAACATAAAAAATAATTTTATTCAAGCTTTGGTATTTATCAAATTTTTCTATATGTTTTCTCGTTTAATTTATTAAACATATAAAAAATAATATAAATTTAAATAAACATACCGGGTGGCCATAATTAAACTGACAGTGCTCACAGTGTTCTGTAGCGCAATCTATTTGCGAGAATGACGCCACATTTTAAGATTAAACAAGACGGGGAATGAAGGATTCCGCGAAAAAACAAATTAGTTCCAAAAGTCACCACTAGGGGAATATTCGGCGCTGCGTAATAGAAAATAGAGTGTTAACAAATGCAAATCAATATGGAAATTACCTTTATTTTTGCATTCAAATGAGGTTCAATGTGGCTGCCGTTGTTGTGGACCACAACAGCAGAAAGTAACATGTCTGCAGGAATCTCCCGTACAGTTCGTGATATGTTATCCTTCAACGTAGCCAGGTCCTGGACCACTCCTTGATAGACCTTGAACTTAAGGTAAGCCCATAGTCAGAAGTCGCATGGGGTAAGATCAGGCGAATGAGGTGGCCATGCAATTGGAAAGTAGCGGCTAATGACTCTTTCTGTTGTGCATTTCTGTCATAGCATCTGTTGCCCCCATACAGCAAACTGTGGAGGGGCTCCATCTTGCATGAAAATGATTTTCCCCAGGCACTGTCTTTGCTGAAGTGCCAGAATGACAAAGCTGTTCAACATGTGGTGATATTTCTCTACGGTAACAGAACAGGTTTCCGGTCCTGTCGGGGTAATGTTCTCACAGAAGAATGGACCTACGATGAATTCCGCTGTGAACCCACATGAAACAGGTACCTTTGGTGAATGTAAGGGAATTACTGTGACTGCATGTGGTGTGATAAGGATAAGGAACGGGGGACGTGGGCACTATGCCTCTACCATACGGTTAATTAGTATAGCACCATATCCACCATGACCTAGAAAAGAAACTCTTAAGACAAACACTAATTCAAATACGTGAGTACATTATTGAAAATGAATGATTGATTACAAAACAATTGTGGTATACCTTAGCAGTAAAATTGTTGCATTTGTGTAAATAACAAGTTGCATTTGTGCAAATAACAAGTTACGATAAAGACAAAGATGTAGTGATAGTTCTGTAAAGTGCTAACGATTAGTATTCCAGTTGTTGCCATTAAAAGAGGATACTTCCTGCTGTAATGGTCACTCCAGGGTCATTTATTCTGCTGCGCAGAGATCCGTGCCGAGAGACTGGCTAGCTTCTCCATAATTTTGATGAGCTGCCGGCAGAGGTGCTTCTGTTTGACCATAAGCTTACAGAATGCCTGTGTGTTTGTAGTGGGAATACATATGTGCATCCTGTTGGTCAGAGAGCAGGTAGTGACGTAATGCTCCGGAGTACCCAGGTGACCGCAGCAGCTGCATATGGTGATTTGTCATCCCAAATTCGGCAGTTCTGGGTATTCACATTTCCATTCAGGTAAAAGTGGGCCTTGTCTCCCCATAAGATTTTCCACGGCCAAGCATCATCCACCTCCATTCTGGCAAGAAAGGTGAGAGCAAAAGTCAATCACTTATCATGGTCGGGGTACAGTAACTCCTGTACACGGCTGATCTTGTATGGATAGAAGTTAATAATCTTTCGTAAGATTTTCCATACCGTACTGTAAGGCATATCCATATTCCAAACTACTCCACGAGCGCTAGAGGTGGCAGCAATATTGTCTGGTCCTCTGTCGACAATCGTCGTGGCAACTGCTTCAATTGTATCCTGTGGTACAGGTTTTTGTCCTCTACCTGACTGAACCTTCAGAGAACCTGTTTTCTCAAACGTCCCAACCATTGCTTTTAGCTCATTAACTGACACAGGACCGTTACCTTTACGCATTTTTTTCTGCATTCTAAAAGCACGAAGAGCAGCTGATGCGTTGCACTGGTTGAGGTAAAAGAATTTGACCAGTAACGCACGCTCGACTAAAGAAGGAGACATTGCACATAAACTTTCAATCCGATTGAAGCTGGCACTGTGCGCATAGATGTAACGTGAAATTTGAATAAAGAACTTCTTCTTCTGCTCAGCGTACGTGATATTAAATTGCAGATCACGAGACTTTATCGGTGTTTATGTAGATTTTACGCTTTTTTTAAAAGTGTTGCCATATTGCACTTTTAACTAAATCAGAAAAATGTGCATAATAAAAGGTAATTTATTCTGTATTAATTTGCATTTTTTAACACTCTATTTTCTATTACACAGCGCCAAATATTTCCTCTAGCGGTGACTTTTGGAACTAATTTGTTTTTTTCGTGGAATCCTTCGTCCTCCGTATTGTTTAATCTTCCTACAAAATGTGGCGTCATTCTCGCAAATAGATCGTGCTACAGAACACTGTGAGCACTGTCAGTTTAAATATGGCCACCCGGTATATGTACTTTTTGAGTTTCAGGAAGGAAGGAGGAATGATCATTTAGCAATGGTCAACGGGGTGCATATGGCTGAAAATGTTTGAGAACACTGGAATAAACTATTGAAAAATTTTATATTAGTTAAAATTTAATTATACTTTGATACCAGTTTTACTAACTTAGGCTGAAATATGTTAATCTTAAATATTACCTGCAAGGTTATACTGTGAACCCCTCCCCACTGGAGAATCTAGAGAAGATGGAGAAGACACATTCTGATTGCGGCTATTCGATGAATGGCCACTTCTCTGCCTTGGTCTTGTGACTGAAGCTGACCTAGAGCAGAACAAATAATTTAAGATTATGAATTTTCAGATTTTATTTCTAATGAGAATGGTTTTTAAGTTATGAACAATTTTGGAAACACTATTAAGTTGAATCTGTACACAACTCAGATAATGATGCAGAATGTATTATTACGCTCATATATGGTAATAATAATACAATATGATACTCTTGTACTGTAAGAATAACTATAGAGGTTTTTATTTTTTAATCCTTTTATGACAGGCACCTCAGTCACCGAAACACTCTCTTGGGACAGTGTACTGACAGGATACACTGTCTTAAAGGGATGGGAAATTTGTGCTACTAAGCCTATAACTTAAGGGAAAAATTCAGATAAATTAAATTTGTAATCTATTTGTTCTAATTTTCGACACACTGTGAGAGGAACACTCAGGTAGTTGTCAGAATTAATTTGAAAACTTTACCATTACATTTTCCTTGCCACTTCAAATATAAAATATGTTTCACTAAACAATACACAAAATATTCACATCAGCATTAGTCTAAGAGGAATGAATAAAACCTCTAAAACAACAAAAAACATACAAACTCCAGATTATTCAAAACACTATATGATGAGATGGAAAACTACAAACTACACTACACAGAGATAAGGAAGCCTTGGAAAAATTGTTCCATAAACTTCAAAAATGCATTTTTCTAAAACTTACAAAAAGTTGCCAAATTGTTAAAAAAATTGCCATATACTGCCAATAAAATTAACATATAAAAATGCTAAAAAATTGCCAATTATTGTCATTAAGACTTGCCAGGAGTATTTCTGCCCATATTCTACTTGAATTAATCAAAGGTTTACAATTCTAAAAAAGAAACACGCTTTTAAACTAAAAACATGTGGCCATAAATTTAAGTGGGGGGGGGGGAAACACCTTAAAATTATTACCTAAAAAGCAACAAATAAACAAAAAACTAAATATAAACAATACAAAACATTACAACAATACGATTAAATAGACACATATAAGTTGGAAAAATGCTGAATTATTTCAGCTATTGAGATTTGACAATATTAATGAAGAAACTATTCTCTTGTCTACCATAAAAAGGAAAATACTTTTTAGGAATTGTGGGCAGTTCTAACTCTAAAATTGATTTAAAGAAAGTTCATGACTAAGTTTTATAACATTTTAGAACTCACAACATTAAAAATATATAGTTCTATGTTTGCTTTTTGATACTATACTAGAAAACCAGTAACACCCATGACTTCGAAAAATATTACTGAACAAAGCATAGAAATTTTTAATAATTTACAAGAGAAAAGTATGCAATAATTTTTAATTATAATTTATAGTTCAAATATGACAACATTTTACATTTAATTTTAATGTTCAATAACATAAAATTCATGTAACAAAATTACATAAAATAATTATCAAAATTTCAAACAAAAAAAAAGCATTGAGAGTTATGTGCATGCAAGTTTAAAAAAACATACCTTGACTTAGACCTTGTCATAGTTGCACCTCTACTTGCAGCAGTTGTTTCTTCCCTGCCTCTAGAAGAGCCACCAGATGTTCCATCTTCCTCTTCCTGAGCCTTTCTCTGTCGATACTGCTCCAGGATGAGCTGACGGCGAAGCTTTTCTTCTTCTTTCTTCTTTTCCTGTTGCTCTCTTTTTATCCTAATGAATAAAATCTTTTCTTGAAGAGAGACTTTTATTTGCTAGTTATATAATTGCATATTTCAATCTTTATTTAACAGTACACATATTCATTGTGAACACATATCACATCATTATAAAGTCTATTCCTAGGTTAAATTAGGTTATCTGAATATGGAAAAGCATGTGAGGACTTTTTTTATATGCCTACAGAGAAGGATGCCTTCATGTAGGAGTTTCTAAGGAGCTCATCTTCATGCTATACATAGGGGAAACAGGTACAGTCAAAAGTCGTTAATTCGGACACCCATAATCTGGAATGATCTAAAATCCGGACCTCAAAGCTACAAACTTTCTGTGCGTGCTTCGCGTTCACGCATGCGCACAGGCGTTTACGAGTGCGCGTAAGACCTTTACGGCTGCGAACAAGCATGTGCGTTTAATGTGAAACGGACGGTATAAGCTAAGCTAAAATTATCTAATTCAGTTAATGTTGCAGATTGCTCAGTTCCTTAACCTTCGAATTGGATCTGGCTTATTATTCTTTGCAGACTGTTAGATTAATTTCATAAAAGTAAGCTTGAATTTTCGATTATGTCAAATAGAATTTCCGATATATATTTACTAATATGTAATTTGTATCTACAAAGAGAAAGTATGTTTCGAAATCCGAAATCTGTTTATAAATTTCACTGCGGGGATTGGAAGTTGATCAGTCAGCACTATCCTTATCTTCAGGGCAGATGTTTTTATTTATTTGGCTTATAATTCCTTACTAAGTGTAGTATTTCATCTCGTTTGATATGATTTAAATCAAGTTCCTCGTCATTATAATTCGCTTCCAATAGTGAAGCAAGTGACCCAGAGGTTATTGAAAACGAAAATATTTCGATTGACAAATTAGTCGGTATTCTTGACACAGCAATTATAGGACTTGAACAGCGGAATTTTGTAACTAAACAAGAAATTATGTCTGTTTAATAGAATTAAAGAGAAAGTATTATCACATGAAACAAAGCAACTTACATTGAAAGAAATGTTTAATAAAGTAAACAAATAAATATTAAGCTTTTTCATTTTGTAAATTTGATACCCTTTAGATAATAATTGTTCTTTATTTCATAAATTATGGTTTCATATTTTTAATTTTGTAATTTCTGCATGCCGTCTTACCAGATTTAAACTGATGATCTATATCCGGAAAAAAATCGATAATCCGGAATTGCCGAGTCCGGATTAACGACTTTTGTTAAGTCCCGACGAGTCCGGATTAACGACTTTTGACTGTATAGGTAAAAGTGTTGGGAGCACCAGAACTTCTTTAAAGATTGCACAGGTATAGCTCCCAATCACTAACAGAATACAGCAATGAGGGAAGAACAGAAGAAGAATAAAGCTGGTGATAGTTCTTTAGAGGGAGATTTAGAAGTTTATTATTAAGAGAGGAGGAGAGAAAGGTTATTAGAAGAAAACTAGGAAGGTCATTAGAAGGGTTACTGTGTAAATCAATTATTAGCCCACCGGATGAGATCAGATCTCAAAACTTTGTACCGTTAGGAAAGGTTGCACTTTTATACAATGAGCCATATATATCCTGGTTGTTTGAACAATAGTTGTGCCATGTTTTAAGTTTTGCAGATATTATTTGATTTTTACATGAGGCCTTTTCGTTTTCTATATTTTTGGAGTACGATGAGTCGTTCTTCATCACTTTGCAATTATTAGAGTTTTCTTCGTAAAGCTCGTGTTTTGTGTTTTTCTTTGCAGAGTACTTTTGTCCACCAGTTGATTTTTATAATGGGAGTTGATGATCGTACGTTCACAGGTATCTTGAATCTTTCTGATAAGTTCCTTGGTAATATTTTTAAGTTCTGTTTTGGTTGTACACAATTAATAGAATTTAGAAAGTCATTTGAAATTGGATTGAACTCTTGTTGAAATTTTTTTTCTTTGTTATTATTCATTTTTAAATCTTGTAAGTGCAGTAATGGATGTATATCAGTTATATCAGAAAGAAATACATTTGTGATCAGATTCGGTATGTTCATGTAGTATTGATCTGTTGTTAACTTTATTATCAAGATGGGTTGTAGAAATAAGAAGATCAGTCCAATCTTTATTGTAGGTATTATCAAAAGGTGGGTCAGTAAAATGATTATGTAGAATGAGATTGTTTGCATTTAAAAATTCTTCAAGTATTTCTCTTCTGTGATCAGGTTTGTAAGTATTCCCCATAAAGTACTATGCAAGTTAAAGTCTCCACTAATAACATGCAGGACTATTATATTTTTGTAAGATTTCATTTAGTATGGATAAGGCTTGATTTGGATTTTCTGACGGAGATATATAGATACTAGTAATAAGAAGCTGAGATGCATTAGTATTGATTGAAATTGTGATTAGGTCTCGAGTATTAATAATTATTGTAGGATTCCATTTATTGTTTGGAATGAATATGGCTGTACGAGGAGATAAAACAGCATTTGAAGCATGACGTTGAATAATTGTCCAGTTATTTGGAATTCTTCCTACTTTGCCAGTGATGCAATAAGGTTCTTGTGTTATTATAAAATCTGCTGGATGATCTACTTGATACTGACATAGTTGGTCGGTGGCGGTCTTTGCTCTTTGAAGATTTATTTAGAGAAATCGGATGCAATTATTATTCTTTTTATTGATGGAAATGGTCGATAGATAGTTTGCAGGAAGTTATTAATTGATAATATGTCCTTGGATTTTACGCGCCTAACTTCTGTTTGATATGTGGAGCAGGAAATAGCTGAAGCTGGATGTTTACAGTCAAAGTTTGTTGCATATTTTTCATTGTTAATCCAGCAGTTTATGCAGTACGGAGTTTGCGTAGAGCAGCAAGAAACATGATGTTTTCCACTGCAGAATGAGCATCTTGGTTTGAAATGGCAATCTTTTGTCTTATGGGAGAAGTCCTGGCAGATTTGGCATCTGCGTACACAGATAAATTCGGTTATTTTATTGGTGCGCCATCCAATATATATTTGTTTTTTTTTTACTCATACAATTTTGGAAAGTTTGGCTGTGACATTCTTATGATCCATTTATCAGTATTATTTTGATCATTCAGTTTAAATAAGGGTCTTAGCTCGGAACTATTTGATTGTGTTTCTTGGGCTATAATTTGAATCAGTTCATCAGAGTTGAAATTTTTTGGAATATTATGAATTGTACATTTTGGCATTCTGGCTTTACGAAATTTTATGTTTTGCAACTGTTTTGGCACTGAGGTTATAGCTGATATTTTTCTATATATTCTGGGTTATGAGTGTATTACAAGGCCTCCTTGAAGAATGGTATTTATTTTTTTGACATTGATATTTAATGTTTGGAGTGGTATTATTTCTTGCGATTTATCTTGAAAAATTTCTATATATTCTTGCATCCTTTTGGTATAAGAGTATAGTATTATTTGGTTTACTTGGTATAGTACTCGCAACTTCTGCATATGATCTTGAATTAGTATACATGGAGTTGTTTCTTGGTTGGTTTATTTGATAGTTAGGATCATTTCTGGGTTCTAGGTTGTTATTATAAAATTCCATAATTGGATGAAGTTCTCTATTCACTTGAAGAGCGTTGTTTGATTCTACTTGTTTATAACTCAAATTTGGTTGATATTTTATATTGTCAATAAATGGATTAAATGATTTTCTTTTTTCATTAAGAAAGGGATAATTATGTACTTGATTATCCTGTGTTTTCCTTGGACGTATATTGGCAGAATTCTCAATTCTTTCTGGGATCGCTGTTTCAATCATATTTTGCCATGATATTAGGGGTCAAAAGTTAGCTGCAAGGTTGGAGTGCTTATTTGAGATGTTGATGCATCATTTAATGTTACTGATGTTGGTTCAGTTGCAGTGTCATGAAGATTAAGTGATGTTGGTCCCGTTGGTCTAGTTGAGGTGTTATTCAGTGCACAATCTTTGAGGAAGTCGACAATTGATTTAATTTAGTTGCAAAGTTCTTTAGAAAGATATCTCTTATGTTTGTTATCGCTCTTTAAAAGAGGAATCAATTATCATAAGCCTTTTGAATTTTTATTAGTCTTTCATCATTGAAATCTAATATAGTTGTATTATCATTTTGTTCTGTAGGTATTATAGATAATGCAGATGATGATGGCGGATGTACACTTGGAGATCTTGACATGTTGTGTTAAACAAGTAGTTATCAAATAAGTCTTAATAGTAAATTGTAAAGTTAAAATTATAAAAAGAAATATATTAAGTAATATCATAAAAATATTTCAGCAACTTAATAATTTAGTATAAAATAAAGATACTATTTTAGTTATAATGCATCTTTGTCTTTGTATATTACACTTTATAACTGTAGTAAATAAAAAAGGATTATCGATATTAATGCAATTATTTTGTTTATATCTATAATAATCTAAAGTAAAAAGTAATTAGTTTATTTCTTTTTAAATTATATTTGAAAAATTAGAATACAGTTTAATAATTTTAAGTCAATTTCTTACAGAACACACACACACTAATATAGGAGGAACATAAAAAAAAGGCTACTCAATCAGCTTGTTCATCTGGGATGAAACCTGAGTCAAACTCCCAACATTCAGAGGTCTTATGCAGTAGTGCCATTAAATTTTCATATGAACTTTAGTTACCTTTCTTCTTCTTTCTTTCGAAGATACTCTTGTTGCTTTTCATTTTTCTTTTTTTCTTGCTCAGCTCTTCTACGTAAGGACATCATCATGATCATTTCTTTTCTCCTTGTCATTTCTAATTCTTTGTCCTAATTAAACAAAAATTGCTTAATAAATCTCATCAAAAAATTTTTAAACAACTGTTTTTGTATATTAAAAATTAAGATTCCATATAGATATGAGGGTGATTAACAACTTAACACATGATGCTCTAAACCTACACATGATGAAATATCTGTATGATGACAAAACATGGTTATCTGATTGTATTTTCTTTTGGAAGTAAAAAAGGGAAAGCATACACAGCAGGTGTTATTATTTGAATTATGTGAGACCACTGAAATTTGTCGGATACTGATGACCTTTAATATTAAAAATACCAAACACTGTTTGGCAATTCAGTTCTTAATAAAAGAAAGCAGAACACTGTTAATATTTATGAAAGCACAGTTGCAAAATGTGATGAGACAGCACCATTTGACACCATTCCCAAAAGGTAGGCTGCTATATTTACACAGGGAAGAATATCCCCCCCCCAGAATATAATTTCAGGCTGGGTCACAGTGTGGATGAAATTTGTGATAAAGTTTAGAATATGTGATGGTAATGAATCATTATTTAATAATAATAATAATAATAAAACAACCCTCAAGACAAGTTGAAGATACTGAAAATCTGCAGCAGATGGGTACTAGAAGGAAGATACCAGAAATGATGAAACATCAAGTTGAATATTCTTGAGAACTGTTTTCCACAATAAATACTTACAAATATTTTTACTCTTAGACAACGAGAGAAGATGAAATATAGTTTTAGTGCAGTGACATGCATCTAAAATACTTGCAGTCAGTGACATTATACTTGGCCACATACATAACTTTGCTGACTTGCTTTAAGTTTTATTTGTTGCATGTTGAAGTATAACTTAAAAATTAATTTTACATACAGAAAATACATTTACAAAAGAAACATTACATATATTTACCAACAAAATAAAACACTTATAATACATTCTATCTAGGTAATAAACAAAATCAGATATGAAATTCATTGATTTTTCAATGCAATGCATAGACTTCTAAAGATTGGATTTTTTCCACCATTAATTGTGTAAAAGTTATGATGTCATGAATGACACAGCTTTACTGTTTTAAAAAGTGTTCCAAATAAATTCTGGAATGGAAGTTATTATCTACAGAATGGCAATGGGAAAGCAGTTATTTATTCTATTAAATATTATATATTTGACGAAAAATCATCCTTGTTAGATCTTTTTTTTTTCTTATAAAGAAGTCAACAGACTTTTGAAGAAAAAATTTTTAATACACACATATATAATACAAATTAAATGTAATGAATGTAGAATTGAAGATATGGGGAGGGGACCACTGATACAGAGATAAGAAAAGTACATTTTTGACGCTAAAAAAAAAGCATTTAGAATATTTGAACAAAATATTAATAGAAAAATACTAATAAAAATAGCATAAAACTAGATTTGTTGTTTTAATTCTGTAATCTAAAAGTCAACTGAAGAAGCATCATTCAAATTTTTTCTTTTACTCTAAAATTTAAGTCTATATTTGTGCTTTCTTTTTGTCTGATAATATTTTATCTTTACTATGACACAGCATTTTATCTTTGAGTGCTTAATGATACACACCATGAACAGATCTGGCTTATCCTAACATATCAACAGTTATGCTAATATTCATAAAGGCCTGTACACTGACTAAAAGAAACAAAATAAAGTTTTCGTGAACTGATGAGTGTGAAGAAGCATTTAAAACCTTCAAGGATGCTTTGACTTCCTCTCTTGTGCTGGCTTAACCACAACCAGAATGCAATATCATTCTTAATACAAGGATTTAAAGAAATGTGAAGGATCTCCAGCTCACAACAATAGATTTATTTTACAGCAAATTGCATTTTTAATTCAACAATAAAAGCCAACAAAGCAATAAAAAAAACCAAAGAGGTAAGAATCAAGACAACTTGTCAGTTACAGCAATTTTAGGTGCAGATAGAAATACCAGTTTAAAAAAGCAAATTTTTCAATTTTATTTCCTACAAATGGATTATTGAATTTTCTGAGTACACATACAAAATAATAAAAACAAATAAAATAAAATCTGAATTTTTTTTTAAATAAATAAATAAATAACATACTTTTTAAAATTCTTTTAAAAATAGCATTTTGATTATTCAGTGCACATATACACTAAACAGTGCCTCTAATTACAGATATTCAATGTAAAACAGAAATTTTCAAGGCATAATTATCAAATTTATTTTAATGCAATTACAACTGCATTACAAAATAATGAAATATTATAATTACAGTAAAGTACTGGTGTTACAATGTGTAATAGTTAATAAAAAATATAAACATTAAAAAAAGATAGCACGTCTATCCCAACTTTGAAGGAGAATTCTCCCCTCTTACCCTATCCCTAATCTCTCAAAATGATTGACTATTCAAAAGTATTGTCCTGATGCAACAAAGATACTATACTTATATGAACACCCTTGCCTTCTCCAGGCCCAAGTATATAGCAGCCAGTAAGCCACTACCATGCTAATAGGGTGACAAGTACTGATAAATGTAAATTTAACAGAATGACAACAATCATTAGAATTATTTGATCTGCTGGTTAAAAAAGTATTATTAGAGGCATTTTCTTAGGGTTTCAAAAAGTCGATAAAGATCAGTAACTGAATGTTTAAGATCCTGAAGAAGTACAAGAAATCTTTTAACATTAAACATCAAAATTGCTAAACATGGATCTCTATAGTGTGCATTCCTGGAGTATTAGTTATTTTCCATATTAATTTCAGATTTAAAAAAAGTTCTTTAATTTAACTAAGGTAAGTAGTAGTTTCTTTTCTTTATTTTTTGTCTAAAATCAACAAGTAATGTGAGGTAAAAAGGGTAAGTCACAATATTATGCAAAGGTGTACAATTTAGGCCAAGAAATAAGAATAAATATGCATCTTAGTTTTAAAGACTTTTTTTGATATTTAATTGTGAGGTAAGAGTAAAAAGTTAAATCCTTAACCCTTATAATTCTATGCATTTTTTTGGTTCCCATATTGCAACATTTCTGCAAATTAGCACCTTCTGAAACAAAAAATAATATTTAGCATTTTAAAAATTATCAGTTATAGTTAAATAGTGCAAAATAGTTTTTTTGTACTAATCTCTAAAAAATTACAATTCAGTTTGTTAAAAATAATATTTAGACACCGAAAAAAATTTTTAACATCTAGTAATGTGTCATTAAATTTATAATGTAATATACCAAAAGAACATAATATTACTTACAGGATCACCTTCAGTAGAGGTTGCACATACTACAAAACCAACTCCAGGATGAGGTTGAGAAGCTGATCCTTCTGATGTTTTCTCAGCTGATTCAGATACTGATTCTTCATTTGTGGAGTTTTCAGCTTCTAAAGCTTGATCGTTATCACTTTTTTTATTCCACTGCTGCCTAGACGTGCCAGTATTTTCTATATTTTGGTTATCTGAATTGTCTGACTTTCGATATTCAGAGTCTATTTTCTTTTGCTGATTACGAGCTTTCAAATGCTTAGGTTTTAACTTAGGTTTTGGTTTACGGGGTTCTTCTTCAAATGATATATAAAAACCTTTATCATTTAATTGTTGCTGCTCACTATTAGAATTTTGTCCTTCTGATTGATCATTTTGAACCTGAGGTTCTTCAGTGTTTTGATTAAATGAAGTTTGTTGTTTATAATTAGGTGAAGAAGGAGATGTAACTTTAGATTTAGCAACACGAAATGTTTTACCTAAAACAGGCCTATTTGGAGGAGAATGTTGTAATTCGGAACTCCTTGATGGTCTACCAAATTCATCTGTTGTAACATTCAAAGCTGAACTATCATGAGGTGAAGTCCTTGTTTCTGAGCGAAGTGCATCATACTGAATTTCAGCAGAATTGCCGTTACTTGGGTGGGTATAATTGTCACTTTCATCAGCTGGATATGTTTCAGAAGGATTCTGATGCAAGTGGAAACTTCGGCTATCTGAACGAATGGGCCCTTGGGACACATTACGAGTGAAGGTGTTTTGCATGACTGGGTAATTTGTTTGTTGGTATGCTCCATAGGGATACTGACTTTGGTTTTGGGGATTGCTGGGTTGTGTTTCATTTGAATAATAAGGATTTGGTGGATAATAATTATTATAGTTTTGAGGGAGTTGCTGAGGATGCAGAGAGAATCCTTGGTTGAAAGGAACAGTAGAAGGCGGTCTTTCATACATATGAGACTGCATATTCATAAGCTGTCCATACATCACCTGAGGTTCTGAAGAAGAAGGCCTCAGAGATTGTGATGTTTGTTGCCACATTGGAATGTTTTGCTGTTGGGGTTGCTGTTGCTGATATCCCCCAAATGGAATGACCGGTTGCCCCCAATGGCCCCGACTTCCTACATGGGGATGAATCTCAGGTGCCATCATATTCTGAGGATATACATTACTGTTCTGAAAAGTATTCACAGGCTCAGCCCATTTACTTGGTGTTTTATTTTGTTTAGGTACATTTTGATCATGTAGAAAATATGCTTGTAGGTCATTTTGAGGAGGTGTATTACTTTTTAGGAGTTTTTGTATCATTTCTTGCTGTTCTGTTAAACGAGATATATCAGACTGTAAATCTGACAAACTACAGTTCAACTGTTCAATTGACTGTTGGATATCTTCAGACTGCATATCATTTTCTAAATCAAATTCAGCATTTTTTCTTTCCAACCATTTCCTTCTGACTGTATCCAAGTCATCTGAAATATCTTCAACAGAAAATTGACGAGTCCTACTGTAGTTTGTATCATACCTGTCATCTCTGTTTGGAGTATTTGAGCCTCCTCCTTTGACTGCCTGCAAAAATGCAGCTTTACCCATCTTTTCCCTCTGTTTTTTTGACAAACTTTCCAGCAATGCTTTTTCTTGCTCAATTCTTTTTCGCTTTTCTTCCAGTTTCAAACGAATATCAAGCATCTGGGCGGCAACTGAGGAATCAGATGTAGGTTGACACTTTGCATCACTTTTTGCCCAGTCCGAAGAGGTACCATAACTTGAAGTTGGACTTGTATTATCTGTCATTGGATGAGATTTATTGATATGCAAATAACCAGGTCGAGTGGCCTTTTTATAGGTTCCTTGTTCATTTTCTTTATCTTGATGTGTATAAACTATGTTTATAGCAGTACCAGAATTATTTTTTTGCTTTGATAAATTAGCAAAACTAATTACACCACCTTGATCCTCAGTAGCTCTTTGGTCTTCAGAGCTCTGAAAATTCCCACTGTTTTCTAAATCAACATTTTCTTTGTTCCATTCAGATTGTGAAAATAAATCCTTTGGTTTCCTCCATGTAAGGCTTCCTGAAAGATGCTTGCTTTGATTTTCAATATCACCCGAAACCCATTTTCCACAATCTGTGCTATATCGCCTTGATGTAGGTCCGTTAGAGCCTAAATTTTCAGAATGTGATGATTCATGAAAAGAGTTTCGATTTCTTCTTGGTTCTCTAGTGAATGTCCTTGGAGAATAGTGTTCATGAGAGACAGACTGAACTTGGTACAGGTTATTTTCACTTTCAGCATTCTGTTTATTTGTTGGCCTTTTTTCTTGGGACAAATGTAAATCAGATTGACTACGTTGGCAGGAGTATCCCCTTCCTTTAACAATTTGTTTGCTAGGAGAGAGTTGGTGAATTTCATATGAAGATGGAGATCTTTGTAAACCAGATTTTGCAGGTTGCTCTCGAGGTTCGGCCCATTTTCCTCCTGTAAATTCATTAGTTTCACTTAAAGACTCCAGATGCCCTGGGGAAGAGGCATCCTGGTAAGGTTTTTCAGTATGAAAGACTTGATAGTGACCCTGAGCTTGCTGTTGTAGCCTCTGACTGTGATCATTCGTGTGCCTCGTCAAACGGCGATTGTCTTCTTGGTCAAGCAAATTGTATTGAGACTGGGAATGAGGATGTTTAGAAGAAAAATAACTAGCAAGCTCTTCATCCTCTTCTGGATGATACCTGAAATGACAAATGAATAGTTTTAACATACTAATTTTACTGTCTCTAAAATCAAGAAATAAGTTTTAATGAAGTCACAGATTAAATAATAGAAAAAAAAATCTACATGTTATTTTGCCCGTTACATTTCCCTATTGATATGTTACAGATACACATTGTTTTACTTACTTTAACAGCAAAAATTAAAGAATTTGAGAATGCAGTTCATTAAAAGATTTTTAATTGAGTGGTCTTAAATTTGTTGTTCACTCTTACAGTATGCATATCTATAACTGAAATTTGATTCTGCATAATGATAACAGTTAAAATTAATGACAAATTATTTATGGAAAAAAAATTAAAAATTAGTTATGTACTCAATAAAAGTTTAAACTTTTACACAGAAGTGATATATTCACACTTGTTTCATACTGTTCATCGAGAGCTTTTCATCTGTATTCTCAAATTTGTAAACCTGGTGACAGCTTTTTCTGATCACCACCTTTCAATCCAAGAATTTTTAAAGATCTCACTATTTTAGTAGCTTTGACTGATGTTGGAATGTCTTCACCTTCTTCCATATCACTTCCACTGTTAGTTTCAGTTTCTACAGCACTTTTAACACTTTCTATAATATTGTAGTCAATTTTTCACACATGTTCTCAATATTATATCAACTGCAATGTAGTCTAAAAAGGAATCTTCATTAGTTTCCTCACTGAAATTCAAAACTCTGGCTATAACTCAGAATTCATCCAAGGCTTACCTAAATGGAAACCACACTTTCCCCAAACAATTTTCAATAATGTTTTGAGAGCTGGCTCTTCATACACTGATCATATAATACACAACCTCTAGCAAAAATATCAATGACATCTGAAAGCACTTACAATACTTTGGTCTAAAGACTAAATGATAGAATTTGTATTTGCAGTAAGAACCACAAATTTAATATTTTTCAGAATGAGATCAGAGAGCTGTGCAGCATAGTTATCAAAGAGTTAAGCTACTTACTTGTTTTACAATCTGCTGCTCCATTTAAAAAGAAACAAAAACTGTAAAACTACAGCTTGCCAGCCAGAAATTCTTGTTGCTACAGTTTTGCTTTTTATTAAGTGCTTTGGCAAGATTTTGTAAAACAGACCTGTTTCATCTCCTTCATCACCTGTTCCTCCCTGTTTCATCTTCATCAAGATATTACTTTAGTTGTCCAAGTAAAGTGTATTTGGTCCAGTTACAGATAATTATGATGATAAACAACAGGCATGATGTTACCATGCAATTTGCAATGAACCATACATTTTGCCTCTTACCAGGCAATTTGCAATGAACAATGTTATATCCAATTTTGTGAGCCATTAGCAAAAATTATCTTTTTTATTAGCCTTTTAGTGAATGCAACAGCACTTGTGGTCTTTAGGAATAGGAACATGTTTCAGTCTCATAGCTTGGAACCATTCGAGAAAAAGAACTTATCATCGCTTTGATTTTCCATACCTTTAGTTCTTCCTGGAGGCATTTCCATTTTTTATTAGTTCCTTTTCAATTAGGTAATTTAAGTAAACACAGTAATGCTCTTTGAAAAATTCCAAATTTAAACGAAGCTTGTCTTTGTCTGCCTTTACATAAAACATAATTGTCTAACAATTTATCCTTTTCCTTCCCCAATTTCCCCCTTCTTTCACGTAGGCATTTTCAACATGTTACAAGTTAAGCACACAACAAATTACGGAATGCTTCTTTATTCCAGTCATATGCTCAAATCCATATGTTTACGTTTCCAGCCAACATAAAGATTTCAATTGTTCTGTTAATTTGATTAAGTGTTGCTGTGAAAATTTGTGCATTGTTTAACTAAACATTTTTTATACTTCAAATGGCAAGAAAAATGTAATAATTTAAAAGTTTTAAAATTAATTCTGTCAACTACATGAGTGTTCTTAATTTATGTGAATTTTTTTTCAAAAGTTAGGCATAGCAGTACAAATTGCCTGTTCCAAGAGAGCAGATAGTGATTGAAGCTCCTACGGCAAAAGGATTAATAAATGGAAGTTTTTCTATCGATTAGTATACATTAGTTTTGTTTTCTGGAAATTTGAATGTAATAAGCAGCTGGCTTTATTAACCAGCAAGTGAAGCAGATTTTGTACTATGGGAATTGATAAATTAATCAGAATACCAGTTCTATCTCGTGATAACAAACTAGTATTGCAAGTCAATGATTTTCCAAAACTGAGGTCTTTGAAATACGCTATACTTTCTAATAACATCACACAAATATAGAATTACTTTTGCAATGATGTTTATAAATTGCCATTATTGTTGAGAAATGACATAACAGTTCAAACTACTTACTTTTCCATAAGTAAAGACATTAGCTCTCCATTCCCTTCCCTGCTTAATTTAGATTTTAGAATATAAGCTATGAATCTAAAATTAATGGGTTTTCATTCAAAACATACCTTAATAAAAAACTGGTAGAAAGGTATGATGAAAAATTATTAATTTCATATACAAATATATATATATAAATATATAAATGGGGAATATGGAAATACTAAATTTGGAATGCATATATTCAAATGAATATTAAAAAATTTACAAGCATTTCATTCACTGAAGGACTACATGTAAAAGTTCTTTCAGATATTTTTATCTCATATGCTTAAATAGCATGCATGTGGTTATGGAAAATTAATCACCTGTACTTGCATTTAAATACACAACTGCATAAATAAATACAGGAATAAAAATAAACAAACTCATAATTAAAAAAAAAGGGCATGGATAAAATACTCTTTTCATTCACCTTTGATCTGACGGTGCTACAGAAAGCTCACCACGCCTATTGACTTCTGAAAAATTCACAGAATGAGTTCGCCTTAATGACCTAGAACCTGTTATTGAAAAATATAATTATGTTATTTCAACTTTTTATCAGATCCTTTTATACAGGCCATATTTCACTACTCTTAAATTGAGAAATACTGTAAATGATGTAATGTATATTCTAGCACATAACGCACACTTTTAATATAAAAAATAAGATTGAAATTACGGCTGCACATTACAAGTTGAATATAAGGTTTAAAAATAAGGGAAAGATGAGCATACAAAATTAGATTTCTACATGTACCTAAATGCTATTTATTTAAAGAAAATGACATACCTTATGAACTTTATTTTCCTTATTGGATAATATGAAAAGTTCATCATATGTGTCTTCTGTTATTAATAAATAATCATCATCTGTTTCATCTAGATTGTTAAACATTATAGTGCATTTTTTAAATAACTTTTAAATTATGTTGGGCTTAATTTCATTCCATGCTTTTATTATTCCCTCACACACTATTTCTAGCCGGCATGACACAATTGGCCTTCTCTTATAAATGTTTTTTTACATTCTAACACCCATGTAGTCCTCTGTCATTTTAAATTTTCTTTGATTGTTTTATTGATACACACATCTGAAAGATGAAAACAATAAACTAATGGCGTTAATTTGTTTGCAATAACTGTTATGTCTGTATTACATTCTTTCAATAATTTATCCAGATTAACTGTTAGATCAGATCTGAAAATGTCCCAAGCTAAAAGATTTTCTGAATTCTTTAAGGCAATAGGATGCTTTTGCCAATTTTTTTTTTTTTTTAATCCACAACTTTGTTTATCCATCCCTTCTCATGAACATAAATAAACACTATTAAGGAAATTTCATTTCAGTATTGCCTTTCTTTTAAACACAACCATGGGTTTTAATTTTGTACCATTCTCTAAGCAGGAAAACACTATGGTCAAGCGATATTTTCTTGTTTATATGAAAGGTTTTTTCTCCTTTCACACCAACTGTTTTATTTCCTATCATACTAGACATTACTAGAGTTTCATCCAGATTTCCAGTATGTGACAGTAAATAGTCATTTCGCCTTCGTAGGCAACAACATACTTCCAGAGGCTTATCAATTTGTTGTTTAAGTCTTTCAGAAGCGTCAGCAATTTTTTTTTTTTTTTTTTTTTAGAATGAAATTATTCTCTTCCATAAATCAACTGCACTAACTGAATGTTGCTTTAGTTTCCCCTTTCATTCGCATTCTTTTCTGCCCACTTTAAAGCAAATAAATGTAAGCTGTTTCTTGTTATGATTAATCTATCCTAGCAATTTTCTAGGACCCAACCCTCAATACTTTTTTCTAGGATAGGCTATTTTGTTACTCCTTGATGCAAAGCACATTTACTCTTTAGCACATTAATTATTGTGCTTTCACTTTTCTTCCGTTCATGTATGGAGCTTGCGCTACCGAACATCCTAGCTGCACCATTTTCTTTCGCAAATTGAATGACTTTGCATTTTAAACCAGTATTACATTTGTTTCCATTGGAAGGAGTCATGTTTACTACTAAAAGGAACAATAGATCAACTGTCTTTTAACTAAAGCAAATGCAATTTAGCAAAGCCTTCAATTTTCACTTTAAAATCATGGTTTCAAATGACTACAGAAAGAGCAAATATGACTCCTAATTCTGTGAATTTCTAATCGGAAGTGCATTCTGAGACCAAATTATGGACCCCTTTTCTCAAAAGCCTAGAATAACATGTTTGGGCGCAGCTGCCTTGAATACAACCTCCCCTCTTTGCAGAATTATTTATTTCATCAAATATTTCCCCCACAAACATATTGTTCCCCTTATCACTTATTAATTCAATGTAGCTTGTTCAAAAGTCTACAGAAAATCTTAAGAACTTTAACAGATAAAAGCATTATACACGTATGTAAATAATACTATGGCATTCTCACAGCTACTTTAAATTCTATTCAAGAGACGGCACCACCTGTCAAATCCAGTTGGTAATCAGTGAAGTGACGTCAGTAGTCATGTGAGACTTCGCTTAAGGAAACTGTACGCGATGATGGCATTAACTCTGTTCCTGGCTGCCGTCGGTGAAGTACGCGCTCACCTCTCTTCCGCTTCGTGATGTTTTCATAGCTGTAATACAACTTTCATGAATACCTACATGGACTTGCTACCTGTAAAAATGATCGTGTGAATTGCATTCGATGTGACTGTGTATGAGTGAACATGTGTTGAAATATATACCCTTTCTAGCATTCAATAAAAATGTTAATATTACCGAGCCAAGCTATCATCGTTTTATCTGCAGCAACAACACACACCACCAAAATGGCATCCATAAACAAAAGCCACAATATAATGTAGTTTGAAATTATAGACGCGCATTACATGCTGGAAAGTACAGTCAATAAATTGCTAAATTTTATTAATTATTTGAATGCGATTTTGTTAGCAATTTACTTTAAAAAATGATGCATGTAAACATAAAAAAAGATACATTTTTCATAAATTCTTTCTTGCAATAACAGTTTAACAGTTGCAGTTAATGATGCTTCAAACACATTTTCACGGACACAAACCTTAATGCCCAAACACTGATCCTACTGATGGTTTCTTTTCCAACATATGACTGCATACTATGCCCATTTTTACAAATTCTCTCTCTGGGTAAAATAATTTTTGTTCGAAGAAAACTACAGCAGTTGATGATAAATTAAAAATAGTAAGTAAAATTTAATACTTGCAAGGAAAAATCGTTATATTTTAAGAGTGAAAATTTTCTCTTACTGAAAAGACATGAACTACGAGCATGCACGAAAAATCTTTATAACTAGTTTATTTTTTTTTAATGATTTTTTCTCCCAATAAGGGACACCCACCGGAGCAGACTTAGACCCTTAAATAGAGGTGTCCTTACTTAAAAGGGTACATACTAAAAAATGTAATTTAATTAAAAATTCATGTTAAATCAAGCTTCAAATAAATTGTATTTAATTAAGAAATACTGTCACTGGTATTTTTTTAATTTAAAGTTAATGAAAAATGAAAATTCTTAATTAAAAATATATGAAATGAAAAAGAAAGTTTCGTAGTTATAGAAATTTAATTAAAATACATTACTTGGCATTGCTTGAAAGTCTGTGCATTGTAAGAATTTTTTTTATGTGGATATTAATCCTCTGAACATTGTGGATGCAAAATTTTATATCCAAGAATAGCTTTCTCATTTGTTACACATAAAAATGTCTGCCCAATCCTGAAAAGTCCAGTATCAGGATGACTATATATTGGAAGAAAAAGAGTCTATGTACAAAGTGAATGGGTTGTTTTGGAATTATAATCAAGAAAATATTGCTTATTCATCAGATTTTGGGAAACTTTGAAATTTTAGAGCCAAACTTGTAACACTCAGAGTTAAAAATCACTGATGATCTAATGTCCTTCACTGTCACCAACAGTTACCTTGAATTTTAATTGGGAGGTACACTTAAGATTATTATGAATGAATGAGGCACATTTCTCCTTAGCTGGGATGTAAATTCGAAGAACTGCATTCACTGGACAGATGAAAATTCTCATGATGTGGCAGCAACACCTTTACATGAAGCTACAGTGACTGTGTGGTGCGGCATAACAAGCATACTCGTTTTCAGTCCATACTTCATCAACAAGGTCACTTCCATAGATATGAAAACATGCTCCACTAGAAGTGCTCAATATAGCACAATGTTGCAGAAATATGTAATTCCAGAGCTGCAGCGAAATGTCATTAATGATACTGAATGGATGCCAAATGATGTTCTTCTACATGTTGAAACATGTGTTTGGCATTGCTGCAGGAGCACTTTGGAGATGGATTCATCTCCCATAACATTGCAGTTTTGTGGCCACTGATCCCTTGAACTCACTCCAATGGATTTTTGGTTCTGGGGTTTATTTGAAATTTAAGATAAACACATCAAATTCACAAGATTTAGCGGAGCTGAATGATGCCATAAAACTTGAACTTATACAGATTCCTTAACTGTTATGTTCATTATCTCCCGCATGCAATATATAATCATCTGCGAAGGCGGGCATGTTGCTAACTTGTAATTCCAGTAAAAGTTTTTCCCTCCTCTCTTCTCTTGCGATGTCAGTGTAGAAGTTCATAGTTCTCAGGTTCATCGTTTGAATATCATAATGTGATTTTTAGTCTTTCTGTTGAAAGTATGTTGTAGAAACTGTATTCAATATAAAACCAAACATTTTCATTTACATGTCCATGAAATTCTATTACAACGAATTATCTATTCATAATAATACAATCCACACTTACTTACTGTAAAGCAATGTAAAATGGGTGGCCGTGGGATGCTTAAACATAGCACATAAAAACCTCTGCTCCTTGTACAAGGTAATTAACTTTTAGCATTGTATTAAGTTATTAATTATGAAGTATGGCCATAAATATTTTTCAGTATTACGTAATTGAAGTATAATTGTAAATACACAAAAAATCAAATTAAAACCAATAACTTGTATATTCAAGTTAGGTCTTACAAACTTAGCAAATAAAAATTTTACCATAACTCACAACAATAATGTGAAACTTGTAAGCATTTATAATTTTGTTACAGATTCAATAAATTTCTTATTCATTACGATGATAAAATAATTTAAGCGTATAAAAGCACTGCAAATAAATTATGAAATAATATTAAAATTACTCACAAAACTAATAAATTCAAATTTTCTAGCATAATTTTTATTCTTGAAGCAGAAAACAAACCCGATTCAATTCATGGATGTAATGCTTTAAACATGACGAGCACATTGAAAATTGAAAGCAAATAAATTTCTCCCACAACACTTTTGATTCACTTCACTCAACATACTTAATTGATGAATGTAATGCTTTAGCTTGAAATTTGAAGCAAATGAATTAACACATTAGACAAACTCTATGAACTTGACCTATAATGGCACATCGCTCATTGATTTCAAAAGCACTTTTTCCTCCCTTAAGTGAGTTTCATTAGCTTTATGTTGCCCTTGTAATGCCACATTTAATTTCATTCCTTAAATTTCTGAACTTGCAAACACTTTTCAATTGGGTCAAGACAGGCAATGCTCCTGTCGACTCAATAATTGCAATAAATTTTGTAAATATCTTGATGATTAGAAGACAGCTGCATAGATACACAAGATTATCTTCACAGTGGCTGAAGACAATAAAATACAATTTATTTCTGGACAACTAATTCTTGCAGTACATATTCTTTGCACATCATCATAGCAGGTGTGATTTGCACTTCACAATTTTGTACAGGTTTCATTTTTCAGAAAATGGACAATAGATAGCAGCGGCAAGTTATGTGTCTAAGCGAAGCAACAAGGTGAAATTAAAAAAAAAAAAAAAAAAAAAAAAAAAAAAAAAAAAAAAAAAAAAAAAAAAAAAAAAAAGAGAGGAAAAGTATGTGTGCAATTAGAAAAAGAGGCAACAGGTACCTTGATCTGTGACCGGATACGAGCTGTTCACATTGCAGGTTTAGATAAGTAGGCATGAAGCAGATTAATTTTGAAAAGATTCAGTCCAGTAAAAGTTATTATAAATCATTTCTACTCTTAGAACAAAAGGGGAAGATATAAGAATTCAAATGAAGAATTATTGAGCTATTGCTAATTTAAGTTTAATTTTGATTTACATACTTTTATCTTGCATATATATGTGTGTGTGTGTGAGTGTGTGTGAGTGTGTGTAATAACTGAAAGATACAAGCAAGAAACGATATACTCTTCAGTTATGCATATAAAACATAACCGAAAACTTACTTTCAAGTTTTCTATCATCCTGCATATTAATTTTTCTAGCTGACAGAGACTTTTGTGGCCTTTGCCAACTCCCACTGAAATTGCAAAATACAGCATATTAAGTTATTAAAATAATACATTAAAACAAAATGTTAATTTTTTAAATTACTGACAGATTGAATATATTGCTAAATTAGTAAAGCCCAAATAATTTCTGGTTACTCAAATACAACTAAACATTTAAATAATAAAACTCTTAATACATAATATTATTTATCATCCCACTTCTGATTATATATAAACTACAGTTATTTCTACATACAGGTAATTAAATTAAATTCAGTCTGGTAGAAGACATTGCCATGGCAATGTAATGGGTGCCAGAATTTTTGCTTTGGGTGAAATAATTTATTCAAGATGAATTTATAATTCTGATGCTTCATAAAGCAAAAATTAAAGGAGTGAAATTTAACTATAACATTTTCTATGTCTATAACTATAACGTTTTCTATGTCTTGAAAGGGCAACTTAGGATATATATTAGAATTATATATAGCATTGTTCTAATATAGGTACTTTGACACAAAATTGGACTTTTTCTGAAATAGCATACTAATTTTTTTCCATATTTCGAATCTACGACTCAAATTATGCCTAGATATTAAATTTTGTAATTTTGGGTGGAGAATTTATGAAGAAATTTAAAAAATTTGGTCTTGGTGCATTTTTTTTTTTTTTTTTTTTTTTTTTTTTTTTTTTTTTTTTTTTTTTTTTTTTTTTTTTTTTTTTTTTTTTTTTTTTTTTCCAGTTTGCACCAAGAATAATTTACTTGAGGAACTTCTTAATTTATAGCAACCTATTTTCCTTTCCTTTTTTTCACTGTACATGAGTGGAAAAATGGTCACCATTCCAAATAATTTTAAGAAAGTGTGTAAACCACATTTGGCATTATTATCACTTATAAAAAATATACCAAATTTCAAAATGCACCAATATGTACTGTCTGTCTATGGTAAGAACAGCTCTCGCCAGTTTGTCTGCAGCTGTCTGTTGCCGTAGAAACGAGCCCTAACCCGTTTTTCGTAGGGGTGCCTTGAAGACTTACTTCTGAGTTTGCCACCTTGGCGCATTTAAAGATGATTTGGCGATATTCACATTTTGTTTTAGTTTCAAGTAAAATGCTTGTTGACCTTTTGCGTCGACCCCGACATCCAATTTCCGAAAATGAAATTCGATGGCGTAGATAAAGCTTTTTTGCAGTCAAGAAACGGTCTTTGATTTTGCCGTGTGAGGTACAAGTCGCTGAATTTGCCATCCCCTCTAGATGTACAATGAGTAAAAATAAACTTGTAGGGAAATAAATTTAAAACCCCCCGTGTTTATTTTTGAAGAAAAAAAAAAAACTTTAATTTCGACATTTAAAAAAATCATGCTATTATTTTTGCTTCTTTTTTGTTTATTTGTTTGCTTGCAAAATCATAGATGACATCTTAGAAATCTACTTGATTGCCCCATTCTCTTTATATAGTATAGACGCACTTCATAAATATAAATAAATTTAATTTTTATAGTTTTCTTCCCTCTAGCTGATCTACTACCGTGAACATTCAAAGCAATTTCTTCAGTCTTTAAATGACGTTCTGCTGCTATGTTTTTATTTCAAAATTTTCTGTTAATTTATTGCTTGTGCTTTAATAATGACTAAAAATTTCATCATTAAATGTATATAGAATCATCTTGAAAGTAAAAGCGTTTTTTTACATACCCATGCTCTCAATAAATACTTTTTGCGAACATTTCTTCTTTTCTTTTCCCATACCTTTAAACTAAACCAAAAGCTGGTTAATTTAATGGCGGAAGGAAGCGAAGGTGAATTAAAATCAAAACTGCTTTTTCCTTAATTACCAGTGGTTTGGGTTGGTTTATATATGATTACGGAAAGCCTCCAGGGTTAAATGCCTAAGAGGAGGGATGCCTTCATGGAGGGCTTGCTAAGGGAAACTGGCTGTGCGCCCAAAACCGTATCATGTTGCCAAACATTTCTTAAAAGTTAAATTGCTGTCAATCCATGTTTCATCGATGTAAACGATGTGGCTGTTCACTTGCTCTGAGTTTTCTCATTTCGCGTAAATAATTGTTCTTCCAAAATACAATGTAAGGTTTTTCGATAAGAATTTTTTTTTTTTTTTTTTTTTTTTGTTAACGCATTTCTTCCAGCGAAAATTCATTGAACTAAAAAACTTTGCACAAAGAGGCTTTTTGCCACGGGAAGTTTATTTTTTGCCTCAAGACAGGCAGTACTTTCCGCACAGATGGGCATTTTCTTTTCTTTGATGTAAAAGTCTTGTATTGTCTGCCGTAGAACGCATTTGTCAAAATCGTCAATTTCACACTTATGATTAGCAGGGCTTTTACATTTCTTTCCAAGTGTATTCAGAAGTTTATTTTCACCATTGTTAATACTTCGCGCTTAATTTTTTTAATTGTATACTCCGATACTTAGCTTGAGATGTTCTCTTCAAAACTTAAGGAAGAGGAACTACTAAAGAGTTCGCCGAAGCTTCAGAAGCGCAAAATTCTGCGACACTTATACACGATTTGACGTGACTGAGACTTTAAAGGTTGACCTTTCTTAAACTGGAAGGGCATTTTAAAAAATTGGCGATTAACAAAGCACTACTACGAAAATCAAGCTAAATAGAAGCGAATTTGAGCAAATGCTAGCACAAATGATATAACAACGAGAATAAAAAGAGCTAATAGTAATAATATAAGGCTTAAGAAAAGATGCGTGCAGCTGGAATGAAGCCGAGAAGACGAATGATAAACTTCCCTTAAGCCAACAGTCGCCAAAAACAAAATAACAATAAAGCAACCCTTGGTTCGTCCCTATTTGAAATATACTAGCCCTGTTGCTATAGCGACCGCCACTCGCCAGACACCGTGGCGGGAGCTGTTCTTACCGTAGACAGACAGTAAATTTACGCATATCTTAGGAAATTTCGAATAAAAAACTATTAATTTTTTGCAGGTATGCCTAGAAATACTTCTACTTTAAAATGATGGTAAAAATTTTATACGTTATAATTAAAATTTTTTTTGAAAAATTTATAATACAAATTTTAAAAATAAATCAAAAAATGGGTGAATTTTATTTGGAATTAACCTAATTTTGAAATGTGAATAGAATCAAATAAGTTTAATAAAAAAAAAGATTTAATAAATATATACCAAATTAAATTAACACAGAGCAGCTAAACTTTTGAGAGCTACCTTTTTAAAAACTACTCATGCAATTTTTACAAAACTTTGCACTTTGGCATCATTTGAGTCATAGAATCGAAATATGGAAAAAAATTAGTATGTTATTTCAGATAAAGTCCGATTTTGTGTCAAAATACCTATGTTAGAACAATGTTATATATATAATCTAATATATATTGTAAGTCCTGCTTTGAAGGCATGGAAAACGCAAGTTAAATTTCCACAATCGTCTAGTACAATGGGAAATACAGAGCTTGACCCCCTTTTTTATTTCTGTGCAAGGTGTACATGTATTTTGCACAAGATAAAGAAGGGGAAAAAGTTGAGATTTTTTTATTTTCATGGAATACAAAATTTTTTGTCAAGTTATATACTGTCTAATAGTAATATAGTGATTCAAATCTATAAAAGTTAGATCTATAAAATAAAACCGGATCAACTAATAATTACAATTAGCAATTAAAATTAAATGAGTGAGTAGGATTAACAATTAAAATTAGGCATGCTAAAGCACAGCTAATTTTATTACATTCAGAGTGCTTTGAGGATATACTGATAATATCATCTCTCACACCCAAATATTAAATTACAGAAATTCACAATCTGTTTTTCTTTATCCTCTTTCTATTTCATAATAATAAAATTCATTTGAAAGAAGATATACAACTATTTCCCTCAAGATAAGAGATTAGATATTAACATATTAGATAAAATGTTAATAATTTTTGAACTATGTCACAAAGCTTGCAAATATATTTAAAAAGAGATGCAAGAAAATTTATTTTAAAAGAAACTGATATATCATTCACATTAAAAACAAAACTAGTTAGAAAGCATTACATTATTATTAAAACTTTAAGAAAAGACCACTTTTAATAACACAAGATACACATTTGTAATGTGCCAAGGTGGGACAGATAAGTAATCAGACTGATTTATGAAGCACAATATGCATTCGTAAGTTACAAAACAATGGTTATTTCCTTAAAAATAGCTCCTTTAGGAAACTGTGCGATGTAAAGACATTACTATTATCTCCATAGCACCGCTAAAAATGGAATTATTCATTTTGAACCAGTATGTTACAGCTTATAGAATAATCTCAATGGTCTCAAAAAATATTTCAAAAGCTTTTATAATTTGAAGAAACAGATCTTAGTAACAGGATTCAGATCTTAGTATAGGATGCTTGAAAAGCACTGAAATATGCTACTGAATACTGAATTAAAAAAATTACTAAGAGACAGCACTGTGTGATAAGAGGCATCATCACAATGCAGTATTTAAGTGCCTCAAACTCTTACTGTAAGTGAAGGAATGTTTCATCAGCCTTTCAAGAAACTTATGTAGTAACACTGTATTCTTAAGGTACAGATTTCTTGTGAATAATACCCAACTATTAAAAAACTAAATCAACATCTACTTAATCTTGAGTTTACTTATTCTTTCCTACTAGGGATGCAATAAGCTACTAAAAACCATCCTTAGCTTTAACATTTTGACTCTAGACTGCATTGAAAAATCTATTACTGCTCTCAATATTATCATAATTTTTAAGAAATTCCTGGTAATTTGGATACTTTTTGGAAGATCTAAACACATATTTTTTTCCATTTTCTCTATTTGAATATAAGTTTTTTTTTTTTTTTTCTACTATCAGTTTGCATATGACTTTTATGTGCCTGTTTAAGGGCTAAAATTTTGTGCACTTTAAAACAGTTCAAACTGATGCCACTGGTATTTATTCTCATTCTCAATGAATAATGTAATCACAAAGATTTCTCATTCTTACCACATTTTCATTCATACTGGACGTGCAAAATTTGCCAGAGGGATTCTCATCTTCAACATTTCCATGATCTTCTGAAATGGTTTTGTGACACTTTTGCTTTCGATAAAGCATCTTCATTTAATCTCAAAAATTTTCTGAGTTGCATTTAACCTGAACTTCATACTACCTATTATTAAATCATGTTTTTTGAAGTTCCAAACTTCCACTGTCAAGACACAACCAACAAGATACATGTAGTAATACACTCAGAACCAGCATATGCTTACAGCAGAGAATAGAAACTTATTCTGAAGGTCAAGTGTTACCTGACTTCCCCTACACAAAAGGAAAGCTTCAAGGTTTGAGTTCCTCTGCAATGCGAACAGTTCTATTACTTTTCGGCCACACTTTCTACGTGCAGAAAAATTGTACATACAAATTAAAATAAGGGAAAAGAAATTTAAAAAAAAAAAAAAAAAATTGTACACATACCTCCTGCTAATTTCATAATTCCCTGATCTTAAATCTGGAATAGGACTCACAGATTTTTGGAAATTTCGGATTCTGCAGTTTTGGAGGGGTGACTGTCTTTGGCCATTTAAATTACTAACTGAAAAGGTAATTGAAAATGCTATAAATATATGGCATATGGGAACTTCCCTCAACACATTTATATTATTTATGTTAAATATTAAAGTTAAGTATAAATTCAGAAAGTGTTATTATTAATCTAACATTTTCAATACATACCTTCTAACAAGAATGAAATAAACATGCAAAATGTGCATTGTAAATCAAAGACTTACTCTTAACTAGATACATAAAACATCACATGAAACAAATCATATGCAAAACAATATATTCTATTTTCTACATATATTGCACTGGAAATAATAGTACTAATTATCTTAATTCTTATTTATAGTATTCTTATATTCTGAAGTAAGATATCTTAATTCAACTTAATTTGTTCATAGTGCAGCTTAGCAGACAGGATGCATAAGTAATTTGAATAAAATAATGAGACAATGTCTTATATAAAGACTTAAACTATAAATAAGGAAAAGCTGAAGTGTTAGCCAGCATAAAAATAGGCAAGGAGTTCAGCAAGCAAAATAATAGGATTCATTTTCACTATAATGTTACACTATGCATACTAAGATCATAATTGCACTCATTACACCTTTTAATTATGACTACTGGTCAGTAACAAGATAATAGTTTTCACATGATAAATGAATACACACAAATTTTTCTGTAAGAGTTTTCATCAACTATCCCATTTTTAGATGACTTGAATCAAAAAGTTGTATGGCTTATGTGATTCAAAGATTTTTTTTCTTGCTAACTTGTGAGAGAAAAAAATGTGATCTCTAAAAGCAAACAAACTTCATTGAAATACTACAAAGGAACATTACAATAAATCTTAACATCAGATTTTTCATATTACAGAATCCTATTTAAAACTTAAATCACCTAAATACTCATTCTTACTTACATAAGACCTTAATAAACTATTTGCCTTCCCCTAACTTAAGTTAAAACATGGTAAAAAAAGCATAACTACTATTAAAACATGCATGTAAATCTTAATAAAAAGAAATGAAACAATTATTTGATTACTATTAACTTGTAGATTGCAGAAAGAAGTAAAAACACTTATTTACTACTTTTAAGAGGAAAATAAACTCAACTTTATATACAAACAGTTTAGTTCGTAAAAATTTTAACTAAAAGTCAAATGTTCAAAATCTTGCAAATCTCAATAAAAATTACAACTTATTTAACCAATAGCATTTAATAGTAGAATATTCAACGACAGAGATAATCAAAATTTTTATTCTTCTAGAGCAATAAAACCACACAAGCAATAAACTGCCACAATGAAATTAATTTATGGGGTGTAGCAAGCCATTTGTAGTCTCTATATCTCAGCAGTAAAGAGAACAAAATGATTAAAATACCTCATCAATCTAAAACTTTCACATTCTGAAGGAGTTCAATAGAAGTTGGAGGGGGGATAAAGTACAGAAAGAATTTTAAATGCTTTGTTAACTAAAATTTCACAATACTTTATCAGTTATATAAGATTCAGTAAACTAAATATGTTCCTGCATCTGAAAGAAATACCCCCCTTGTATTCTATAATAAATTATTTTCTGCATTTTCTTCCAGCAGGTAACATCTTGGATGACATATTTTAGATAATTTCTTTATTACTTTTGTAAAATTTACATAATTTTTTGTGAAACTCATAGATATTAACTTTTTTTTTTAAATTTGCATGTATGTACTTTATCACTATAACATATTTTCACAATTAATCATTTACAAAATAAATGCATTTAAATTTTCTTACCATCAACCATTTTTGTTTCATCTTCCCTCTCTATTCTAGCACCGGGTCTGCAGATGTGCTTTGGAGGCCGGATTTCAAATATGTACATGAGGTCTGCTATAAAAGCAAGAACATTGGGAACAATAGATGGATGCATGTAAACTATATCTTCCAGAGAAAGGCAATAGATGTCCTGTGGTAAGTGTTCCTGGCAAAATTTCTGCACTAACTGTAAATTATGAACAGAATCTGCTAAACTTATTGGATCGTGCAAAAGGATATCTACAAAATAAAAAAAGATGTGCAAAAATTAACCAAACATATACTAACAATGAAGCAGTTTCGGATAAAAAGATGGAAAAAAAAAAAAATAACTGAACATATACTAATAATGAAGCAGCTTCACATATGCAATAATAACAACAACACTAACAAAAATTCAAAATCAAACTTTAAAAAAAGCTTTTAAAAAAATCTGAAAGCTTTCAGATTTTATTTTACGATCATAGGGACTTTTTTTTAAACTTTTTGTGTGTATATCATGTTTTTCGCACTTAAACCATAAAATACAATTTAACAGCAATATCACAAAATAATTTTTAAAAAGCATATCTTTAAGATTTCTAATACAGCCTCACACGCTGGAGATAAAAATCCCCTCCTTCCCCCGTACAGTGTTGCCAATGCTCGCTTTGAAGTCGTTGAGTTTGTTAATCAAAAATTCACTAAAGCTTTACAAAATATGAAATAGAGATAATGAAACAAATTTCAAATGTGAGCTTCCAGATTCCAGTGGAAGAATATGTTATTCAAAACTTGATGTCTCTAGGTAGCATTTTCACAGTGCGAGAAACATACATTCATGCAGATTTTTCATTATTTAATTTCTTTAAATATAATGCAGGCTCTAATATTTGCTGGCAAAAATTTGAAATGTGAAATGCCGCTTATACTGAACTAATGCAAAATACCAAAATGAAATTAATAGCCCTTCTGGGCAAATTGTTCCTCTGCGTTAACACTTATTATACATAGATATATGTAAGATAAAAATATTTCAAGCAAAATTCAAGATCATATGGAACTAATGGATTTGCTGACATCTATGAGGCAACATATGGAGCAGCCACACATTGTAAGTCCTGTTCGAGAGATGGAGAAGTGAAGACAATGTTAATTAGTGACTAGTAAATCCAGAATCTTGATTATGAAACGAGTCACTATTCCAAGACTGGAGTTGAGTGCGGCAGTCTTACTTGTAAGGTTAATGATTAGAGTTATATCTGAATTAGAGACCCCTGTGAACAATGTGTAGTACCGTTAAGCTGTCTCAAATGCTTTTTTAAAAATAAACTACTTAAAATCAAGTGCATTCTTCTAATTACTCTATCTTTTACACACAACTTTAATTATATACAAGCTCAATTATGTTTATCTGTTTTTAACAAAACTTGTGTATTCAGTACATAATTTTATTTGGATATTTTCTCTGACTGTTAAAATTACATTTTTTCATAAAGTATTATATAAAAGATAAAACCTGATAATGAAAATTTCAATAATTTGAAAATGCACAGTTAAACAACACAATGTATTAAAATGGATTTTTTTAAAAAAATATTATCATTGCTGACAAAACAAAAGAGATGGAAAGACAGCATTGTGGTTAGCAATCATTAAAAGGGTTAAAGTAGAAACTAAACAAATTTGTTTCATTAAATTTTTTATTTGTTGACATTAATGCACTCATTAACTAATTGATTAAATTGGTAAGTAATAATTTAGGGCTTACAAGCGTTATTAAATACTATCTTAAAGAAAGAAAGATTACAAAAAGAGTAAAGGAAGGAATTATACAAATCTAGCTAATATGTGCTACTTAAGTACAGCTCATTGTAAGCAGATTCAAAATTAACACTTAGAGGGTTGATCTCTGAGTATTAATTTTGGATCTACTTATAACGAAACACACGGAGAAATTTGTAACACTCAGAGAGTTGATCAAGAGTTATTTAAAATAACTAAAATTGTTTAATTAAACATCATTAATTTTTTATTAAAATCTTCAAATATATATAAATATAAGTGGTAATTTTGACAATATTTAAAGATAAAAAATCAGTGCAAATAACAATATCTTTTTTTTTTTTTTTTTTAATTGAAAGATTTACCTTGCCATTTAAAATACCTAGGACAGTACAGGCTGAGTAAGGCAGACAAACAGCAACCATCACTAAGGTCTCCTAAATCTTGAGCCAAAGCAATAAATGGAGAATTACCTCTTTGAGGCTAAAACAAGAGTAAACAGAAAATAACACAGTAGAACATAAACAAGTATAAATAAAATATATAATATGGTATTTTAATACAAAAACAATCAGCAGTCAACAACAACAACAAAAAAGCGTTATAGTCACTCTTAATTACATTAGAATTATTTCGAAGTCTTTTCAACATGGAGGCAAGTGATTAAACCCACTCAAATGATCTCCGATAATATCTGCTCCACTGAACATTAAATATAGTAAAATTATTTACTGCTTAAAATATAGCTGTTATGGCAATTAAAGAAGTCACCTCTGATTAACTATACCTGATCCACAATTAACCCGCGAGCACATGTGCTGGGTCCAATAGACTCGCCCAATTAAATAAACATTTTTGAAAACGTCCCCATTTTTCCCAAGTGGTTGTGGTTCAGTGTAGTCTCCTCCAAGGCTATCCTCTTTATGTTTCCGAAGTTTTTTGCCAGAGATTTGATTCAAAGTTTTGTTTTGATCGGATCGGGCCCTTTCAGACCCAGTGCGCCTATTCACATTGCTGTAACGAGTTCATTTGTGGTAGCACAGAAAGCTGCAAACATATTGAGTAATTTATCCTACAAGAAAGAAATGTAACGTTTGCAAAAATTATTAGATGTATCAAATGTTGAAGACTCCATTGAAGAAACCGAGGATGAAAGTTATAATGAATTTTTTAGTTTTCATGATACTGATTCAGAAATTGAAATCCATTCTGAAAACGAAAATGATAATGACATGTATTGCTTTATTGGGGGGGGGGGGAAACAATGGTCAAAAGAAAAGCCTAAAGTTGATGTTAGAGCTTCTGCATATATTATTATTACTAAATTGCCTGAAAACATCGGTAAGGGAAAATATGTGCAGACTCCAAATGAATCGTGGGAAATTTTACTAAGTGAACAAATGTTGCTGAAAGTCGTCAGTTATACAAATATTTATATTGCATCTATTTCTGACAGCTTTCAAAGAGAGAGAGAGAGAGAGATGCTCATCACACAATTCTAATTGAAATTCACGCTTTTATAGGTCTTGCCATATAAGTCATCTCATGCAAATGTGCTAGATCTGTGGGTAGCAGACGGACCAGCTTGGAAATTTTTCAACGAAACTGTCCTACAAACGTTTTTTTTTTTTTTTTTTTTTTTTTTAAATCAAGATGTTTGCGTTTTGATAACATAGGAACGAGTCGCTAAGAAAGAATCAGATACACTTGCACCTATAAGAGAGTTTTCTGATGATTTTGTGAACAACTGCCAGAAATATTACACTGTTGGTGAGTTCATAACAATTGATGAAAAACTTGAAGTGAGGAAGATGTTCTTTCAAGCAGCATATTCCTCATAAACCTGAATAATAATATAATGAATTCCTAATAAATTCTATATTAATATAATAAGTTTTCCTAGTCCTTTAAAAAAATTATTTCATAAAAATACTATAGAAATTAAAATTAAAATTTTAATTTTTATAATTTGCATATTTTTTAAGTTCGATCATAAAATTTTGGCATAAATGTAACACTTTTACCTGAAGAGTAACAGTTTTTTCTTTGAAAAACATACATCTCATCCATGCTTCAGCCTTTGGAAGTGTATTGAAATTGAATGCCTGTACAGAAAACAGTAGATGTAATAATCTGCAGGAAATTTGCAGGGCAGGCACTCGTGTAACTCAACACTCCCGGGTTAACTTAAAATTGGTTGCTCTTGAATGATTCTTCTATTCACAGAATTACATTTTCATTATTACTGACTATGCAAAATCTGTCATGAATCATCTCCACAGCAAGCAACATGCAGGAAATCTGTTTTTTGATTTCCTGCAGATTATTGCCTCTACTGTTTTCTGTACAAGGCATTCAATTTCAATACACTTTCAAAGGCTGCAGCATGGATGAAATGTATGTTCTGGAGTTTTGCACAAATCTATTTTTTAATCTAATGCACAGCAAGTATTAACTCAACAACATAAACTAATAATAAGCGTCTGATGCACACTGAGACTAGCACATACAATGATAAGAAAATGCTGTTACATATTTGGTATTTAAATAGCTAATAAATTAAATTGTTTTATTCCCCGTGCAATGCGCCGCGTGACAAATATTAAGAGAAAGCTAAGCCAGAAAATTAAAAATACAAGAGCATGTGCATTTAACATTTAATAAATAAATATCTCTTTTTGATTTCGAGAAATTGGTACGATACGATGTTCATAATCTGGACTCATCAGGACTTTGGCGATTCCGGATTATAGATCATCAATTTAAATCTGGTAAGATGGCATGCAGAAATTATACAATTAAAAATATGAAATAAAGAGCAATTATGATCTAAAGGGTATCAAATGTTACAAAAAAAAAAGCTTAATATTTATTTGTTTACTTTATTAAACATTTCTTTCAATGCGCACATGCGTAAAGCATACATTACATGCATGCTTAATGTATGTGCATTCTTTACATGCATGCGTAATGTATGCGCATGCATGAAGTTTGTGGTTTTGAGGTCCGGATTATAGATCATTCTGGATAATGGACGTCCAGATTATGGACTTTGTACTGTAGAACTATCTTGTGCGTGATTTAAAAAGCTTATAAAAAGGAGGAAATCCTCTCAATTCAGTAGTTGATTTATGAGTTTTGCTTAGAAAACTGCGGTTGTTTACAGTAGCGAATTCACGGATTAGCTTTCTTTACATTTCTCTGTTTTGAATTAAGTTCTGTTGAATGTTTTTAGTAGTTTAAAAGATAACTATTGTGAGATATTGAGATATTGTACAAATATCTGAGGGAGTTTAAGCATTTTGTTTTATTTGTTGTGACAATAATAAATTTTATTCATTTTTCATCGGACATGGGCATTCAATTTATAACAAACCCATACACACGCAACACTTTTTGGTGTCAAGAGTGGGGTATTGAACGCAAATCACAAGAGCGATGGAAGAACAGTTGAGGCAATTCATGGTAGCCTTTGCTTCATTTAAAGAAGAGAGGAAAGATTCTGTTAAAGAGGAAACGAGAGCTGTTAAAGAGGGACACGAATCCATTAAAGACGAGATGAAAGCAGGTCAAGAGGAAATGAAAAGAGAAATTACTGGCATAATAGAAAACAAAATTGAGGCTATAGAAGGTAGAATACACTCGGTCAAAAGTAAGGCTGTAAAATTGAAGAAAAAGTTTCTTTCATCAAAGAACAAATAGAAATGAGAATTTCTGCTGTGGAGGAACGAATTGAAGGAAAAGTTTGTGCCGTCCAAAGCCAAATCAAACAACAAATTGATGGCAAGGTTTCTGCAGTCACCAAAGAAGTTGATACCCTTAAGAAATTCGTAGCAACGGCAAGGTGCAATACAGATGGTTTTAAATTTTTACCAATGCCTGCTCGTCTTCTCTGAAACTATCTACATATGATAGGAAGAACCTCCTGGCAAGTGTATAAGACACAACAATCAGCTGACCCAGCAGTTAAACCTAATGCATCTAAATACAATAAAAGTATGCTTCCATTACAGTTATATTCAAAGCTACAAATGCTAATGTGTTTTCAAAATCAGAATACATAGATACCTATGGAAGTTGCTCTAACTCTTTTAGCTGCTACTTAACAACAACGAACTTACATGAATTCTAAAAATTTCACCACTATGATCCCTATCTGCACACTCATGTTTAACCATTTAAATTTTTTACTTCCTTATGAACTCATGAATTGAATACTAACATTGCTTATATTGTCTAAAATTCACTGCAAAACAACAACTGCATGCTGCTATATGGAAAATGAATGAAATACATATGCCATTGTCATTCATAGTAGCTTCAGTTTTGAAAAGTAATGATAGAATTAAGAAAATTACTCAAATGAAAGCTTGTTTACCTGTTACTTTTAAGATGGCCAATATTAATATCTCAGCAGTGTTTAATGCACGTTCATCATTGGAGAAGTTAGCATTGAAAGGTTTATAACCCTATACATTGCCTTTGTCATAATTTAAAATACTTAATCATAATCTTACAATAATTTGACTAAAGCATTCTGACATACAGCAGCTCTTTTTCATATTTATCAGGAGAAATTATAGCACTGTTGATTCATCAAAATCCACTAAGCGTCTTTTTTACTGGTATCAGTGTTATACAGTCAAAAGTCTTTAATCCGGACTCGTTGAGACTTCGGCGATTCCGGATTATCGATTTTTCTGGATTATAGATCATCAGTTTAAATCTGGTAAGATGGCATGCAGAAATAATAAAATTAAAAATATGACACCGTAATTTACGAAATAAAGAGCAATTATGATCTACAAAGTATCAAATTTTACAAAAAAAAAAAAAAACTTAGTATTTATTTGTTTACTTCTTTCAATGCGCACATGCGTAAAGAATACATTACGCATAGTCGAAATTAGAAAATTGTAACCAGAAAACTATTTGAAGTGAATTCGTGATATTTATAATGAATTTGATTTAAATTATATCAAAGAGAGAGTATATCGAGATGAAATACTACATTTAGTAATGAACTATAAGCCGAATAAAATAAAAACATCTGCCCTGAAGATAAGAATAGTGAAGATATGCCTTTATCCATTTTTTGCAGTAATTCCACCTTTTGTTTGATGGACATTGAAACATACTTTTGCTTTCTAGATTCTTTACATATTAGTAAATATATATCGAAAATTCTATTTGAAGTTCAAGCTTACTTTTATAAAACTGCTCTAACAGTCTGCAAAAAATAATAAGCCGGATCCAATTCGAAGATTAAGGAACAACGAAATCTGCAACATTAACTGAAATAGATAATTAGATAATTTTAGCTTAGCTTATACCGCCGTTATACATTAAACGCGCATGCGTAAATGTATTATGCGCATGCATAAACGCCTATGCACATGCGTGAACGCATTATGCATTGACGCATGCGCAGAAAGTTTGCAGCTTTGAGGTCCGGATTATGGGTGACCGGATTAACCACTTTTGACTGTATTACAAATAGTTTTGCCTATCTGTTAAGTAGCAAAATATCTATTACTTTAACTACAGCATGCTTAAAAATGATTTTTATGTGATTTTTACTTTTAAGTTTTCTGCATACTGTCTTAAATTTTGGAATTTTTTTACTATTACTGTTTTCTAGACAAGTTCAACTCTTTTTTTTAGTACTTTATCATATCATTTTTATTTTCTTTTCGATGCTATTATGTTTTTTTAACCTGACCTCTTTAATTTTTGTGAATTGCATAAAAATGCATAATATTTTAGCTGTACCAATCAATATGCTGAATTTAGATTTAAATTTCGAAATTCGGAAAAATTTCCAAATTTAAATCAAAATTCAGCATCAGGGGAAAAAAAAGAAATTCCCCCCATTTAAATCGGAAATTTTTTTCTATACTAATATTTAATTCTAAATTATGATTAAATTTAAGAATCATCTAATTTCTTATTGGAACTTCTATGATCTGCTCTTTCTAACATTTAATAAAATTGTTTAAATGTACCACATTCATAACTTCGGTTTAATTACTGCCAAACAAACTTTAGAAATAATTATGAAGGTTAGGAATAAGAAATTCTTGCAAAAGCGGGGAAAAAGACATTTAACAACATATGAATGTATTGGAGACTCCAGCTTTCAGTTTCAGTCAGAGTTAATGATGCACCTTAAAAGCAATTTATGAAGAGTTGGAGAATAACTATATTATACTACAATAGATAATTATTTATTATTATGTAATAAAATATTAAACAGAATTATTTTCAACATAACTTCAGCATATAACTCAAATTTCCTTCACTTTTAACAATCATAGAATATTAAAATTAGACAAAACAGCAGCTTATTTTGGTGTACATTTTAAATAAAAATCTCTCAATTTTAAGGGCAGCCAGACACAGGTCCATTTTCTTCAGAAAAAAAAACACAAAAAGGGGGGCAAAAAATGGAGAAGCAATACTGTACCTATATCAAAAACAATGGATACAGCAAAGCAAACATGAACACAACATCTAAGTCACGGAAAATAGTAATGAAACATGAAAAATTACAATTTTAAAAGCATTATGAAAAATCCAGCCCTGACGTAAAATGACAATCTAAAAAGACACAGAAATGGCTCAAGAAAGCAAACAAACAAAATTGACAGAACTTTCTTGAACATGCTGGCTGGCAGCAAAAAATCAAATAAGAATAACATGCCAATGTAACACTAAACATTAGACAATATAGCAACCTTATTTTGGTGAAGATCTGAAACAACTTTTAAAATTTTAATATCTTAATTTTTCATATTTCATTACTATTTACATCAACAGATGGCACTATGTTCATGTTCACTTTGGTTCAGCCATTGTAGTTTATTTAAATAAAGTTACTGCTCCTCTCTTTTTCACAGAATTTTTTTGCTCCTGAAGAAGACAGACTTGTGTCTGATCACCCTCCTAATCAATGGAGTTTTATTTAAAATCTACATCAAAATAAGTTCGCTGTTTTGCCTAATTCTCAGTTTTAAACTGGCCTGTTTCTCTTCTCATTTGAGCCATAGAATAATAATTACACTTAGAAAATTACAACTATTATATACTTATTGATAATGATTAATATAGCAACCTTCGTTAATCATCACTCAGTGCCCAACCAACAGTTAAAAAAATCTATGTTTTCGAGAGTGTCCCACAGCATAATGACGGTCGATTATTGGCAGCAAATGAGTTAAAATTAACGTAAAATGAAAACATCTGGTAGGTATTTTACAGCAAATTTTAGATCAATGACAATCCCATATTTACTGTTACAAAAGAAATAATTAAGTATTACTCTTATTATATATGGTCTACTGGAAAGTTTTGCCCAATATTCTTATTTCAAATTTCAACACGCATTCATGTGTTCATATGAGAATTATATTGCTGCCTCTCTTTATCATTGCATTAAAGTACATATACTCTTCTAAATTAATTGAAACAAAACTGCCTCATATCATTACTAAATGAGATGCTTTAGTTTAAATATGGGCTACTTGTAAAATTCCTTTATGACACCTTATTTTTGAATAAGGAAGAAATGCTACAGAAGCATGTTAAAATTTAGTGAGTTTTTGGAGGAAATGCAGTTTTGGACAGAATGTGCAGGAAATAAATTGAAAAATTTGAAGCAGGTAATTTTGACTTTAATGATAAGCCAAGCTCTGGGCGGCCATCTTTAATCGATGATGATATTGTCAAGACCATGATACAGTAAGATACTTTTTCTTGGATCGTAAATTGCAGAAAAATTTAGCTCAACTCAAGAAACCATCTCATACTATATTTGTACACTAGACTGGTTTATATATATTACAAATGGATGCCCCATGGGTTAAATGTGAAAACTTGCATGATTCAGTCATCATATACACTTGCTAGGAACAAAAATGAACCCTTCTCAGACCGGATGATAACTTTGCGATGAAAATGGATTACTTACAAAAATATCATTAGGAAAAGAACATACTGTGAGTTCTGACATCCTGCAACCTTCACCTCTAAACCAAGCTGAGCCAGAATAAGAGAATGCTGTATATACAATGGGACTTTCAAGGAATGATAGATTACAAACTTTTGAAACTTACAAAAAGTTCAATTTGGAATGATATTTCCAACAATATTGGATATTTAAACAATACAGGCAAAGAACAGAGGGTAGCAATGTTCAACCGAAAGCAAATTAAACTGCATCATGAGAATGCCAGACCAATGCTGCTTTTGCGACTCATCAAAAAAGTCGCACAGCTAGGTTGGGAAATTCTGCTGCATCCACCATATTCCCCAGACTTAGCAGCCTCCAACTGTCATTTGTTTCTCTCTATACAAAATTTTTTTAATCGGGAAAAAATTGAAAAACGAAGTAGATGTCAGCCAAGCACTACTTGAGTTATTTGCCTTAAAGGACAAGATAAGTTTCAAAAATGGTATTTACACGTTAACCATTCTGCTGGGAAAAGGCATAAGTAATGACAGAAATTATTTGTACAATAAATATTATTAATGGTATGAAAAATGTAGTATTTTATTTTGGTATGCAAATGGACGGAATTTTCCAAAAGATCTTATATTATTTCAAATTCGTTATCTTGATAATCTGTAGCCTATTTTAATAATAGTTTAATACAGTTGCTAGTTACTAATTTTTTTTTCAAAATAATCATGCATAATTCAATACTGAATCTATTCACGGCTATGCAAATTAAGAATTACTGCTTAAAATTTCAAAGAGAAAATATATATATATATATATACATAAATTAGAATAGCAAAAGCAGAAAACTCTTTTGCTTACATGACTAGAGTCAGGACTATCAGAACAATGGCTAGTGCCGAGCTCTTCTTCAATCTTATGCCTCATTTTGATGCAGCACTTGTTGATCCAAAGTAGGGCAGCTTCTTCACAGTCATATGGAAGTTCACTTTCTGGATTCACAACTGAGAAACGGCTAGACATTTATAAAAAGTTGTAGCTACACTTTTCTACTTATATCCATAAAACAGATAACATGGCAATAAATTGATAACTAGATGCTACTGATGATATGCAATGAATTCTACTCAATTACAAATAGCAGAAAGAAATGCTTTTTCAAATAATTTGAAAAATATATGCAGATAGAAGATTAAGTATGAACTAATACATGTCAATATATAGTAATAGTCTTTTTAATAATGGCAAAAAAAGCACAAATTACCTGACTACTTCGACAACTTTTTCTGGAATGAGCACTTCTTTGATGAAGAGAGCCATTATACCTTCAATCACAGCCATGTGAGCATTCTATGGATACATTATGAAAAATAAAATTTTGGTTACAGAAATTTTGTTAAACAAAAAATTTGCATTCATAGTATTCTACAAGTTAAGATCATATCAGTTTAAAGAGATAATAAAATATGGTTCAAATAAGATTGGGATTTTTTTAAACCAAAATCCTTATTGAAAAATGAAAGAGTTGAACATGTCCTTCTCCAACATAGTGCTCTCCAGAGTCTCTCTATTTTTGCCAATTTTCTAGAAGCATTTTTATGTTATTTTCGTGAAGTTTTTCAGTTGGCTGTCAGTGCTCACCAGAGTCCCTCTATTTCTGCCAACATTCTAGAAGCATTTCTATGTTCTTTTCATGAAGTTTTCCAGTTGGCTGTCAATTCTACTTTTGAACACTGATGGTGACAGCACCCACAAACCAAACTGCACGACATGGAATTAAGCCTGGGACTTAAGATTAGTAGTAGTAGTTTATCCACATTTCATTGGCAGTCACTACGTACTGCTTCCCTTCATCTTCAAATAACAGAAAAAGAAAACTGATTGTCTATATTTCGCGACAAGCTAACCTGAGAACACATACAAGGCTAGAACGACCTTTTTACAGCTTCTCACCCTGTTCTTCAAGTTATATATATGCAGTAAACTGCCCGCGGATATTCAATTCCTCCAATTCACTACACATTTAGCGACTTCTTGTCAAATCCAGCGTATTTAAATAACAATCTTTTTATGCAGTCAAGCTACAGTTGAAATTGATAGTTCACTGTAGTGTAAAATATAAGGAATTGTCTTAATTTATATGAAATATTTCACTATATTTAAATGTGACATATACAGATTTGATGACATTTAAAACACGAATCATTACTTAAAACTTGAAAAGAAAGAGCTAACAATGTATTGCTTGCAGTTGGGGTCAAATTTTTTTCCCAAGACCGTTCGCTTAGTTAAAAATAAAATATATAAATTTTGAAAATTTGGTATTATTTTCTCTTAAATTTTAAGAGTTTATGCAGCTTGTTGCTAGCAAAACAGTGAACGAGGGGACAATTTTCGATTTTTATTTTTTAAAGACGTTAATTTAATTTTAATTTGCGATTGTTTAAAAAACTCTGACAATATTTTATAGCAGACATTTTAAAAATTATATCCTGTATTAATTGTCTCCTAAGCCACATACACTTCCCAGTCAGACCCAGATAATCACTCTCCTATGTTTTTCTCCTATCTTTCTGATTACGGTTTAAAATCAAACATAAAATGAATAAAAAGACTGGAAACTGAGATCTTCAGATTGCAGTCTAACGACTAAAGAATTTACCATTAAAAATTTCAAGGTATTAGAAAAATATTAAAACTTTAAAATTGTGAAACAAATAATCTTATACCAACTAATTAATCGTATACCATTTAATTCCACTAATCAATTACAATTATAACATTAGAAATGTCTTATATTAATTACAACTTTTTTAGTTCATAACAACTAAAAAAGTATAAAAAAAAAAGAAAATCTGAAAGGTTTAGTGCATTTACTACTTTTAAGACATTTACCGTATTAAACGACAGTTTGCTTGTATTTTAAAAATAAATTAGTTTTTATGCTTTGAAGAATGAAACGTCTATGCGTGATGTGGCGTGCAAGGTGCGTCCTTTGCTTCGCGATGGGGAAATACATTGCTTCTACATCTCTCAATTTATAAAAAGCAGACTGATTCAGCTCTCTGAGAATCTGTGAATTATATTTAGTCGTGTAGAGCTGTACAAGCTACGTAAAAACCATACATTTCCTTCCAGGTATGAAAACAACAAGCATATCATATGGAAAAATCTGGCTATTCCTTTCCTTAGATGGAATCATCTGCAAATCAAGCGTATTAATGATAGAGTTGCTTAAGCTGTGAAACACTGTTAATATGCAGTGAGTTCGTTTGTAATGACTGTAAGCTCTGAACTGCATAGGAGTCCCTCAGTATATTATATAAAAGAAGTCCTTTACCCTTATAAAGTCCCCATGAAGCCATGTCTTCCTTTAGACAGAAACCCCTGTTTCTTTATCCATAGTTAACTTAATTGATCAGTACTGTATTAGTTAGATTAAGTGATTTGAATACAGCAAAGCACACAAGAACTATTCGACTAAGGGGTGAGATGCATTCGTGGAGGACTTTCTAAAGGAAACAAGCTCATATTCACGTTACACATGGGAAAAAAATCAAAACCGACCATGAATACAGCCCGTTCGCTTGAGTTCAAACGATGTCAAACTACCAGTATTCAGCAATTTAATCACTCGGCTAAAGGTGGGACACTTTAATATTATACTTTCTAAGGAATTTGTTGGCTTGTATTTAGAATGTTATTTATAAATGTTTATACTTCTGCCTTTTTTTAAAATTTTATTTTTGGCCTTGAAAACGGACCATGTATTTTTAATTTGTGGCCCGGAAAAGGGCCTTTTTTTTTTAACTGAGCCATTCAGTCCCGATAAGATTATAAAAAGTAACAATATCGTTATCGTATTTATTAGGAAAATGCTCCTGTAATTTGACAAAAGCATTCATTATGATAATCTTAGCGGTTCTGTTTTTTCAGCTTTATGAGGTTGAAAATTATACACATATGTCGAAGATGAAGCAGATACCATAACAATTGCTTTTTTCTCCTCCCGGTCAGTTTTTGAATGAACGCTTTAATTGCTTTTCTCATTAAGAGTGGGGTGAGATCGGGGTTGCTGGAATTTCCAGTTTCGCCAATAATGCCAAAAAAAGGGATGCCTTCCTGCTGATCATTGAATGATTGACACAATTTAGCAAATTTTTAAACAAGAAGCTGGATGCAATGTAATCTATGGAAATTTCCTGTTATGTTTTTACCACCAATCCTCGAATTCCATATCACAGATTATCTTCATACTACATTAATATAAATATTAACAAGACATAGTGCACAATAAAAATTAAGCTTTATTTAGGAACATCGCGCACACTCCCCGACCGCCTGCCTGTTTCGCTCTGCTCGCTACTCGTAAGAAACTTCTCCTCTAGGGTTGCCACACTTATCGGAGGGCGCAAGGCGCGCTCCTTATCGCCATCACCACAGAGTTTCCCCCCAGTTCCTTTAATGGCTATTCAAAGGAACGACATATGTTATGAAATTATCTCAGAGTATCCGTACTGTCGGGTATTTTTTTTTTTTCATGATTACAAAATTAGAATATAAAATTAGAAAAGATCAAAATGAAATTCAATATATAACAAGGTAATGACACATATAATAAACATGAAATAACAAGAAATATGTTAAGATATGAATTTAAAAAAAAATGTTTTAAATTGTTATGTAAGAAGCAAGTTTCTTAGGGAAGTGAACATATCTTCCCGATCTGGTGACAGTTTGTGTCTTAGAGAGTTCGTTTGCAGATTTATTCTGCTGAACTGTCTTTAAGTCTTTATTTGTTTTTAGTTCAGGCAAATTAGAGTCCGAAAGCAAATAGGCTGGTTTCACACGGTCTATAGACACAGTAGATTTCAGACCGTTAACATCAATTGTGAAAGTTTTGTCCGTTCTAGAAAGGACTTTATGCGGACCTGTGTATGGTTGGCACAGAGGTGGCTTTACTCGATCGACACGTAAGTATACATGCGTACACGACTTTAAGGTAGCACTTTACGTAACATTTTTCTTGGCAATGTGCAGATGTTGCTATTGGATTCAATTGTTGCATTCTATGCCTAAGATTCGTGATAAATTGTGTGTCATACGGAGATATCTTAGATGACGTTATCATATCACTAGGCAGCTTGAGAGTTGTGCCGTACACCAGTTCAGCACAAGATGACTGTAGATCTTCCTTTACGGCTGTCCGAATACCAAGCATAACAACTGGTAGTGTTTCAGTCCAGTTATTGGTCTCGTGAGCCTTGAGAGAAGATTTTAAATGTCGATGAAATCGTTCAACAATGCCGTTTGACATTGGATGATAGGCTGTTGTTGTGATTCTGTTCGTACCCAAAATGCGCGTGAATTCTGCAAAAAGTGCGGATCTCATTTGAGAACCTTGGTCTGTTGTTATGATCGATGGGCAGCCAAAACGAGATATCCAACAGTTGAAGATGGCTCTGCAAATGGTTTCCGTTTTCATATCCGGGATGGGAATGGCTTCAGGCCATCTGGAGAATCTATCTATTAGAGTCAAAAGGTACACATTGCCTTCTGATGGAGGTAACGGTCCGACGATATCCATATGGATTTCTGAAAAACGTGCATCAGGAAGAGAGAATGTGCCCAGTGGTGCTTTAGTATGCCTAGTAATTTTCGATTTTTGGCAAGATTCACAGGATTTCACCCAATTTTTGATATGACGTTTCATATCGGGCCATACCTAATAACGAGAACAAATAAGCTTCGTAGTAGCTGCAATTCCTGGATGTGACAGATTATGCAGATGATTAAAGATGAGTCTGCGAAAGGAATTCGGAACAAATGGACGAGGAATGTCCGTTGATATGTCACAAAGAATATTACCATCAGAATATTGGCACGGTTTTAAATTCCAGTTTCAAAGATGATGTGTTTGTTTTTGAGAAGGTCTTGTACCTCCGGATCATGCCGTTGAGCTTCCGAAAATTTTTTAAAATCCAAAAATGGAGATTTTGTTATGGAATCAATTTCGATTCTTGAAAGAGCGTCAGCAACGAACATGTTTTTTGAACCTTGCACATGCCTAATATCAGTAGAGTACTGAGAAATAAAATCTAAATGTCGCAATTGTCGAGGTGAACATTTATGAGGGTTCTGTTTAAAAGCGTATATTAACGGTTTTTGATCCGTATAAATTATAAATTTCTGCCCTCTAACATGTGTCGGAATTTCTTAATTGCAGAATAAATAGAAAATAATTCCCTATCGTACGCGGACCATTTCTGTTGACTTTTATTGAGTTTCATAGAGAAAAATGCTATAGGTTCCCATGTTTGTTGAGACAACTGCATAAGTGTGCCGCCGAT